AAATCGGGTTTCTGGTTCCTTCTAAAAAAAAACTCAATATCCTCTTGCGTCTTAGTGGCATTATCGGTTTGCTTGGGGTGAATTGATTTACAAAAAAATAAAATGAAAACAAAAAATAATTCAGCTCTTTTCCATCCATGGGTGCAAGCACATATTTCTGACTGACTTTTACAGGGTCATTTGTTTCAGACTGGGTGGTCGAATCCGTCGCGTCAAAAAACCTGTTGTTGAGGAAGCGTGAATTTCATATTTTTCGATTTTTCAAATTTAATGAATCTTTGACTGTTGATTAGGCTTTCATTATGCAGTTGTTAGTCAAACTACAAATTGTTACTCTGGGGAAACTATTTCTTTTATTTTTATTTTCCATCTGCAAATTGGAAAAATGTCGTGCATTGATAATTCTGGGGGAGAGACTTTTGAAATGTCGATTTTTTTTTTTTTTTTTTTTTTTTTTTTTTAATGCAAATTTTCACAAAGGGAACTATTCTAAAAATGAATTTAAATGAATGAACCTGAACAAACATGTCCTTTGTAAAAGATGAGATAAACTAAACAGTAAACGAAAAATTTTTTTTTTTTTTTTTTTTTTTTTTTGTAAAACAAAAAACACCGTTTACTAAATCTGCTCGCAAAACAAAAAGTGCAATAATAAAAAAAACTTTTTTTTAATTTACAAGCTTTTAATTGATTTTAGGTACCTCCATGAGAACTAGTTAAAAACAGTTTTTGTTTTTTGTATGGCAGGCATTGTTTTTTTTTGTTTTTTTTTTAACTAATACATGATTTGCTTTCCTCAAAGCCTTGTGCGTTTAAAAAACTGAACGCGATTGAATCTTAGTTTTCATAAAATTAGTTAATGGGGGGGGGGTAATAAATATAAAAAAAATCTTTCCATTTCTTAAAAAAAATTTAGAATTTCCATTTGTGAATAGTTTCTGAAAGTTTCATTAACATCTGACAATTATTTTTATTTTTGCGAGATTTTCCAAATTAATGTCGGTCATACAAAAAACGTGCTAAAAATTTATTTTACTAGTTTCAGTGATACAAAGAGAAACAAGTTTGTTTTTTTTTTTTTTTATGTTCGAAAAAGGAAAAAAATTTTAAGGATAATTAAAAAAAATACTTTGGTCTTCCCTCTTAGACGATAAAATTGTTTTTAAGTTTGGTGTGTTTTTCATCACTTTTTTTTAACAATCTTATTAACGTACCTAATATAATGGCATTCTTTGTCTTTTTCAATGATAGTATATTTTTGTTGAAGTTCGCTGATTGGGTCTGTAACTGCAGCCTCTTATTATTGCTTTCAATCAATGGAAGTGCAGAAGAGTCTGGTGGTACCTTCTCTAGGTTATCAGCAACTCAGTTTGGGGTTATGGAAGCTTTGATAGCATAATTTGAACCTTTTTAAAGATTTTCTTTTAGTTTTGAGACAGGTGATCATGGCTCTTAAGATTTCTTTACTTTTATTAATTATCTGTGAATTCTTATGACTTGGGAATGATAGTGATTTAAGTTTTTTTTTCTCTCCACGATTTCGAATTCTCAGTAGTCTTTCCCCTTCACTGAGAGCCCAGTTTAGGCTGTTATTTAATCCATAGCTGGAGGTAGAGAAGAAAGATATTTGCCTTTCCTAATGCCATTCCTTGCCGTTTCAATGATTGTTTTTTTTTTTTTTTTTAAATAGCAATCATATTGTAGAAAAGAAAACAAGTTAATCAAATAATGATCATTCATTAAAAACCTGAAATGCTAGTGTAATTTGAACTTTTTATTTTGTCAGGTCAATCATTCAATGTCTAAAGTAACTGATGTAACATTGGTCAATTTCCTATACTAATCTTTCTCTTGCTATGACAAAAAAAAAAACCCTGCGTCTTTCCTCTTAAGATTTTTGACAAAACTTTAAGTTTGAGACTCATCATGGTATACTAATTTTTTTTTTTAGAAAATCAGTGGAGATACCTATACTAAACCATTATCTGGAGAAGAAAAAAAAAAAACAAAGGAATTCCTGCAATCTAAAAATATTTTCTAGCTTTAAATAACCAGCAAGGGGTTAATAACCTGTAGAAAACAAATCAATCAATTGGTCAAAGAATGGGAAGTATGCTAGTCCAACTCCCGTGTGGTGGAAGAAAGGAAAACTAAATGTGACTAGGTTAGGGATGGATCGTTCATAATCAAAGTAAACATTACCTGAAATTGATAGGTTGTGATCCCACTTGCTTTTTCATGTGAATGCCTATAGGCCACAAGTTGACACTCTCGTTCCAATTATGATCACCAAAGCCTGGTCAGTACCTCAACAGGTGACCACTTAGAAATACCAGATGTTATAAGCTTGGATGTGCAGGTGGTGTAATGAATAATGGCTCAGAATTGGAGAGCTGAGTTCCAATTCCCGCTGGGTTTATATTCACTTGTGCATAAATAGCCTTGGGAAAGGTATAAATCCATCTCTTCTCCTCTGGCTATGGGTTAATTAGTAAGACTTGTATCACTAAAGTTACCTCCACTGATTTGCAATATATAAGGTTTGATATGTTTTTTTTTGTTTTTTTTTTTCTTTTTTTTTCTTCTTAAATAAAATCTTTCTAGAAGCTTTTATTTTAGTATTAATTTCAAGCTAATAGATTAAATTTAATATTTCAAATAAGCAAAATACTTTGCTGTATTTCAAAACTAATTTAAATTGACTAGGAGTTGTTAACCATCACTGATTTTAGTGCCTTTTTTTTTTCTTTCTTTTTTTGCTGTCATCATGCAATTAAATTCTCGTTTATTAAAAAAACAAAATCTTTCAAAAATAAGATACATTCTGAAACTTTAAAGTTTAATTAATCTGATTTGAAACAAATATTACTTTTAAGTTTAAAATATCACAGAAATGCATGCCAGTAGCTGTTTATTTTAGGTGTTGACAGTTTGAATGACAGGTGGAAATTTATCTAATGTTTTTCTACAGTGGACATATCTGTAAAATTTGCTCAAATATAATGTGAATTTTTATATATATATATATATATATATATATATATATATATATATATATATATATATATATAACTACCCAGTAATCTTTAAAAATTTAGGAAAATATTCTCTATAATCCAATGTTTTATTGAATATTAAATCATTGGTAAATTTGGCTTTACATTTACTATAGTTATTGTTCTTATTTTCTGATAATGTCATGTATGGACATCAATATTTACAAAAATCAGCATGTTTATAAATGTAAAAAAAAAAACTCTTTTTCTTTTCCTAACAATTTTCCTGCTTAATATTTTTATTTAGCTTTTGGAGGCATCTTACATTATTTCAATTAGCCTTTAGATTTCAGTGTCACATTTTCTGACATATGTTAAAACACTTCCCAAATGTTCAAATTTCTGTACTTAATTTTGATATCTACAATTCGTAGCTTGCATCTTGGACTGTTCTTCATCATGACAATCCTTTTTTTTTTTTTTTTTTTTTTTTTTTTACAGATGAATTTGGTTATGTTTGTATTTTCTACTAGTATGTTTCAGATGGAGTCTGGTAAGTTTGTGTGTGTTTAAATAGGTTCCAATAGAGCTGTGGTCAGATGGGTGTAACATAAGGTGTCTGGATAGGCATGTAGTCGTGTGTCTGATGTAATTATTTCTGAATTCAATTTGATCAAGAACACAGTTCTTTAAGGGGCATTTGAACTCCTAGATAATGTTCGTTTGTTGTAATTTTGACTTTTTGGAAGTGTTTTAACATATGCCAGTGTGTTGTTATTTTTGAGGATACAGTTAGCTTTTAAATTTTTTGTAGTGGATAATTTTATTTTTTTTTTTTTTTTTTTTTTTTTGTCAGGTCAATTGGGGTAGTGTATTTCTTTATAATATTTCTAAGTAAAGATTCATCTTGTTTGTAGTTAATGTGCATTTGGTTTTTGTAGAAATTTATATAATTTTTTGACTGTTCAATATCGTTATTTACTTTGGGAAGAAAATCTAATTTGGTGGTCTATTAGGTAATTAGCCACAATGTGCTAATTGTGTTTGGAAAATAAAAAACATCTTAAACATACACACAGTGCTCACACTCAAACTGAAAAAATAAAATCATCCTTGATAATGGCTAAAAGTATAACCAAAAGCACTCTGAACTATAGAACATTTGGCCAGTTCATACACTCTGTCCAAAAAAGAAAATACTTGTTCAAACACAAGGAAAATTAAATGAAAAGCTTAATTGTAGTACTGTGTTGTTTTTAATGAAACTTTGCCACAGTTTTTCTCATCTACAATACTTATATCTACTGTCACTATTATTTTTCTATGACAGTTAACTAACTCGTGACAGCTATCTCTGCTTATGCAAAACTTTTTTTTTTTTTTTTTTTTTTTTAAGATGAGGAATTCATCATTATGTAACTTGCTATTCAGACCATGAGGGTCATTTTGGTTGTTATGCCAACAATATTTTAGATGTTGTACAGCCTTCTTCAGGTATAACAAGGAAAGTGTACTTGCAAAAATTCCACGAGTCATGGGTACATGTATGGTTCGGCCAGGGGTGATTGCTCACGTGACCTGGACATATATTTTTCCACTACCTGTTTATAGACATTAGATTTATGCTTCCAAAATCACACCACCAGGTTGTCTAAGAGACCCCCTTGCCTTGTGGATCAAAGTGTTGGTTAATGATTCAATAGAAGAAACCCACAGTGATTTGTGGGTATTAACTGAAACATCCTTTAAGCATGAAAAGTAGAATAAGAACTATCTACCTGATAAATTAAATAAAGGATTCCATTTAAAACTGATTACGGAGTACAATAACAGATATCTGAAGAATACAAGAGGCAAAATGTTGAGAGTATAACAACCAAGATGTACATGCTGGTCCTAATAGTAATTTGTTTAAATTCTTTGTCATCAATGATCTAATTTTTTTTTTTTTTTTTTTTTTTTTCTTTCACCCAGTATAATTACTATCCTAATCGAAGTTTAAATATGGAGTCAAAACAGTCGGGATATTCAGCTCAGGTGAGGCAATAACCTTTCTTATTCAAGTATATTTCTACATGTGTAACAATTGAATTTCATTGAAAATCATCTCTGCTAACTTTTTTTTTTTTTTTTTTTTTTTTTTTACAATGTGTGTGTCAGTGTTGACACTGAGGCCAACACCAACCAGTGACATTCTTTCATACTTGAATGCAATCTTCAAGCCATGTGTTGTTTTGGGCTTGACTATATATGCTAGTCATTGGTGCATTATGGGCAATAAGGTCTATTCTATTATCCTAATGGTTATTGGGTGGATGGTAACTTTATATTTCAAATTATTCTAGAAGTTATTTAGTTAAAATTGTGGATCTGAATGCAGTTATTTGTGGCTTTTATAATGTTGTTTGTTACCTTTTTACTCATTTGATTATTTTAATATTTTTTTTATACTTGTTTGTGTGCATTCATAGTTTAATTTGTTTATTTAAATTTTGTTTAATTTTATTAAAATAAAATAAATATTCAATATATTCAACCTGTGTCATACAGTTCTCAAATAAGGATTTAAATGCTATTAACCTTAAGTGGTCTTTTCTATAGTATTTTTCAATGAGAAATTCCTAGCACAAAACACTTTTGGCACATTGGATCATTTGTTGAACTTTTTTGTCTGTTTCAGTTGTGTTTTCACCTTTTTAAACATAATGTAAAATATATGCTGAATATGTCACTTATTTTCTTTAATCTTCAATGTTAGAATCAAAAATAGAAAAGAAAAATAGACCTATTTTTGATACCTTTTGCAAAATGCTTGCTGATATATCACAGTAGAATGAAAAATTAATTTTTTTTAATGAAGTTAAAACTAAATGCTTCTAATGACAAATGCAGATTTTTTTTTTTTTTTTTTTTTTTTTTTTCTATGGAAATGTATTATCTGGTTTCACTTTTCAGGACACGAGAAATTATAGAGGACCTGCCAAGTCAAATATGGAAAATTCCTATGGCCCTGGGCAGGTAAGACATTCTAATTTATATAAAATTAATTGCTTCTAATGGATACGTAGGTATATAGTGTAAACTAAGGATAGTCCTTCAAGAAACGCATGCTAATGCTCATTTGTCATATAGAGGATCCTCTTTTGGTAATGTTTTAGGCACATGGCGAAACTGAGCAGTGCAATATATTCTGCTTTACCGTAAGACAACTACAAATTGCAATTCATCACGCATAACGAAGAGTTTTTGGCATCTGTCGGTTTTTAAATCTGCCACTCTGTTTTTTTTTTTTTTTTTTTTTTTTTTTTTTTTTTTTTTTCTCTCTCTCTCTCTCTCTCTCTCTTTCTCTCTCTCTCTCTCTCTCACACACACACAGTTCATGTACTGCATTTTGCTGCTATTGTTTTTGTGATGATTGGAGTGGGTTGATTTAAAATATGACATATACCAACAGCTCTAATACATGGCAAACAAATTTTCTAATCTCTGGTCATTGGAGTTGATGAGGCAATTTAATTTATTGCCCCTCTTATCCTTAAAAAAAAAAAAAAAAATCCCAACACCTTTTCCTTACAGACTTTCTTTTTTTTTTTTCCTTTCATTTTAACCTAAGACCAAAGCCACACACGTGTGCGTGCATGCACACATCATGTCAAAAGTACGATGTTTAGGTTTCTGCTTTCTCATCACATACTTTTGTTTTGAATACATCCTACAAATGCACATATTTTTTTTTCTTCCCTTCAGGCTTATGGAAATAAGCAAAATCCAAGAACAAATTTTGGGAATTCCAGGAACTATGATCAGGTGAGGCACCCTATTTCCTTGAGACGTGTGTTTATACCTCCTATAGCTGTTTTAGTTTGAGTCAAGACTAGGACAGTGGATCATCTGTGGGGATAAAAATCATTAGTCTGCTAACTATTATTAAGCAAGATGCCTGTGTGTTAATCTTTTTTTATATTTCTATTTCCATTCTAATCTTTCTCTGTTAATCTACTTTATCCACTAATCTTATTCCTTTCTATATTACTTTTTAACATGCATCTCTCGAGCTTTCTCTTTAACATTTTTTTTTTTTTTTTTTTTTTTTTTTTTGGGGTTGAGCTAAATGGAAAGGTTTTTTGCAGGGCCCAGGGGGCTTTGTCCCCCCCCTCCCCCTCCAATTTTTTTACTTTTTACAGGATTTTATTTTAACAAAAATCAAAGAAAAAAAACAAAGCAAGGAGTTGTAAATGTTCTTGCAGCTAACCATTTGTCTCTGCTATGGCCCTGTTGTGTGATGTTTCAACCTTTTAGGATTTCTTCAGACTAAAGTGGTATTTATATTAATGCAAATAAGCCTGTGCTTGAAGGGGACTGGATGCTGAGAATTTTAAATAAAAAAATTTGTGTGTATCTGAAAATGATATATACATCAAGGATAATTTTAGGGAAAAAAAAATAAATCCTAATGCGCAAAATGCATCACAAAAACTTTTCCCTACAAAAGACGCCCGGTCGGTGGGGCATCAGAATACGCCGACTGCCCCCCTGCAGAGGGTAAAAGTCCCTCAATGGGGCCACCTGTTGGCCGTGGGTGGCGACCCGTAATGTCTGGGGACGGGATCCTGGTGGTTGAGCAGGTTGTAACCCAGGTGTAAAGCGGTCACAATCTTGTAACACACCACTTTGGCCCTTACCTGGGCTAGACGGGCGGTCGGAGGGGCCCGATCCGATCAATCGGCTGGTCATGTCAAGCCCCATCATATATAATCCAACCCAAACCTATAACTGACCTCCTCTTCCCAACCAAAACTAACACTTAACCCTAAATATGTGATGGAAGGCGGTGGCTGAGGGTCAATCAATTTGGGGAAAAAGTATCTGACACACTTGCTAAACCTTCACAGCCGTAATACTTGGAAAACGGAAACAAAGGAACATGCGTGCTCAAAGACTCCTCCCAAAAAAAGAGTATATCATTCACGTAGCCCCGACATGGCAAAGGCGAATGGGTTTCCCCCTTGACCTGTCCCAATCTGGACTCCGTGGTGGGTAGGGAGCGAGAATGATGAACAAAATAAAAACAATCAATGGAAAAAAAGAAATCTTCCAAGAGACCACATGTAGATAACGACTCAGAAACAGAGAATGAAAGTGAGAACTTCCCACGGTTTATTGTACTCGAAGCAATAAGCCAAAAATCATTATCAGAAATTTCTCCGTTTAAAATACAAAAAGCAATAACAAATATCATAATACCAAAAAAGGTTAAAAAATTACAAAATGGAACAATACTAATAGAAGTAGAAAAAAAAATATATGCGGACACATTGATCAGACAAAAAAAACTACAAGAGATAGAAATAAAAACCTACCCACACCAAACACTAAATTACTCAAAGGGAGTAGTAAAAAGTAAGGAGCTCTCCTTGTGCACTCTAGAGGAAATAAAAATAGAACTCCAAACTCAAGGAGTTACAAATGTTAAAAGAATAACAATTAAAAAAAAATGGAGCTGAGATACAAACTAATACCTACATTATAACGTTCAACTCCCCCAAATTCCAACTTCAATAAAAATTGGATATGAAAGTATAAAAGTAGAACAATATGTACCAAACCTCTACAATGCTATAAATGCCACAAATTTGGGCATCACAGAGATTCCTGTAGAAATAAAAAAATATGTGGGAAATGTAGTGAGAAGGAACCAGAACACAAAGAAGAGAACTGCCCAAATGAGAGCCTATGCTCAAACTGTTTGGGAAACCACTCTGCCCTCTCAAAACAATGCAATATATATAAACAGGAGAAAGAAATAATTAGAATAAAATACAAAAAAAATATATCTTACATAGAAGCACGAAAGGAAGTTATAAATAATATAAAAGAAAACACATATGCTTCCATGGCACAAAAAGCAAATAAAATAAACAATGAAGATAAAATAAAAGGTTCAATTGAAATAACAAATCTATGTAAGGAATTAAAAGCTTTCCTTGAAGAATTAAAAACCTTTTTAACCGAACTTAAATCGGATCAAAATAAAACTCAACAACCCAGATCAAATGGAATAAACCCAGAAGGAGGCAAAAAACTTTGGAAAGAAAACACAGAACAAAACTCCAGCGAACCCTCTTCTTTCCAAACCCAAACTAAGAAAATGAAAAATAAACAAAAAGAAAAAAAAGTGACAACAGAGCAAGAAAGCACTCGATCAAGATCTAACTCAAAATCGAGAATCAGTATATCAAATGAAAATAAATTTGAACCTATGGAATATATAGAAATAGAAGAGAAAGATAATAAACAAAATTCAAAACAAAATCAAAAATCTGATCGAAGGACACCACAAGCAGTTGAAGACAAAGCTTCTAAAAACTCAAGAGATGGAAAAAAAATTGAGAGGACAAATGATACCAACCTAGTAGGTAACTTTACTCCCAAAAAATGAAAATATAATCATGGCACATAAGATCCTGCAATGGAACTGTCATGGAATAAAATCAAATTACAATGACCTACTCATACTTATGTCACTACTGTATCCAGCCGTCATCTGCTTACAGGAAACTTTTTACAAGAAAATACCAACTTAAAAATTAAAAATTATAAACAATACCACTATAATCACAATACAGGACATAGAGCTAATGGAGGAGTGTCAATATTGATCAGAAATGACATACCACAAAGTAAAGTACACATTAAAACTAAATTACAAGCAATAGCAACACAAGTGACACTAGATAAAACCATCACAATTCTTTCCATTTATATACCCCCACAGGAACCAATAAACACAACAGAAATAAACAACTTGATGGAGCAACTTCCCAAACCCAGAATCTTACTAGGAGACTTTAACAGTCATAATCCTATATGGAATAGCAAAAAGCTAGATACTAAAGGTAAAATATTAGAAGAAATAATTAACACCCATAACTTATGTCTATTAAATCATAAATCCTCAACCTACCTTAATCCCTCCAATGGAACAGAATCATCAATAGACTTAAGTATAAGCGATCCAGAAATTTGTATGGATTATACATGGAAAACACATAGTGACACATGTGGCAGTGATCATTACCCGATCATACTAGAAAATCAAAAAGCCTGCCAAGGAAGAAAAGATAGGCCCCGTCAGATGGAAACTGAAAAGAGCCAACTGGGAGGGTTTCAAAAAACAAATGTAAACAAGTACTGATACAGTCAAAGGACACAGACAACTCGGTAGAATACTTTACCAAAACATTAATAACCATTGCCTCAGAAAATATACCAAAAAAGCAAAATAATTATAAAAAACTAAACCCTGGTTTGACAAAAACTGCCAAAAAGCAGTCAGAAACCGGGAAGCAGCATTGCGAAAATTCAAGAAGGAACCCACAACCCAAAATTTGATTGAAATGAAGAAACTCAAAGCAGTAGCACGGAAAACTGTAAAAGAAGCCAAAAGGGAATGTTGGAAAAAATATGTAAACAGCCTAAATACACATTCTAAAACCAAGACAATATGGGAAATGATGAGGAAAAAATAGCTGGAAAAAGATCAAATACACCCAATAATACATCTTAAAAAGGACAACACTAAAGCAACTAGCAAAAAGAGAGATAGCAAACCTACTAGCAGAGACATTTGCAGAAAACTCTAAAATGAGCAAAAATCAAAACCTACAAAAGTGTAAACAAAAAGATATAAATAACCAACTAAATTTTTCATCTAAAAATACAGAAGCCTACAACAACCTATTCACTGAAGCGGAACTAATAGAAGCCATAAAAAAATCCCATAATACAGCAGTAGGCCCAGACCAAATCCACTATGAATTTATTAAACAACTACCACAAGAATCGCTGAAATACCTTTTGAATATTTTTAACAATATTTGGACTACTGGGAAATTTCCCAAAATATGGAGAGAATCTGTAATTATTCCCATACTCAAAAAGAAGGAAAAGAGGGAAACAACCCACAAAGTTACCGACCAATAGCATTAACAAGCTGTCTATGTAAGACAATGGAGCGAATGGTCAACGCCAGATTGAGTTGGTTTCTAGAAGAAGGAAAACACATATCAGAATATCAATGTGGATATAATAAAGGAAGAAGTACAATAGATCACATAATAAGACTAGAAACAGCCATAAGAGAGGCCAATTTAAACAAACAACATCTAATAGCCATATTTTTTGATATAGAAAAAGCATTTGATCAAACCTGGAAACATGGTATAATGAAAGATCTGCATAAATTAGGATTAAGAGGTCGACTACCAAACTTCGTAAAAGGATTTTTAACAGATAGACTCTTCCAAGTACAAATAGATACTACACGTTCTGATTATCAAAAGCAAGAAGAGGGAGTACCACAGGGAAGTGTACTCTCCCCTACACTTTTCAAAATAAAAATAAATGACATAATAAAAAACATCAAATCAGGAATACACTGTAGCCTTTATGTTGATGATTTTACAATATATTACAGATCAAGAAACCTCAACACAGCAGAAAGACAACTTCAACAATGTTTACATCAAATAAACAAATGGACACTCGAAAACGGTTTTAAAATATCAAAACGAAGACAAAATCTGTACACTTCTGCCAAATGAAAAAATTACACAATAACCCAACTCTAAAACTAGGAAATGAAGAAATACCAGTAGTTCAGCAATATAAATTTCTAGGAATGATCTTTGACAGCAAACTGACCTTCAGACCACATATCAATTACCTAAGAACAAAATGTTTTAAAGCTCTCCAACTACTGCGAACAGTAGCCCATACAGAATGGGGAGCTAGCAAAGAAACCCTTCTTAAGCTTTATAGAACGTTGATCCGCTCCAAACTGGACTATGGCAGCATGGTCTACCAATCAACTAGAAAATCTTATCTAAAAAACAATAAACACAATACATCATGAAGGCCTTCGGATAGCTCTAGGAGCCTATCCCACCTCACCTATAGAGAGTCTACATGTAGAGGCAAACGAACCCCATTACAACTAAGAATGGAGAAACTAGCTACTCAATACTATCTAAAACTCTCTTCCTGTCCTTCTAACCCACACACGATTGTGTAATTACACCAAATCACAAAGAGAAATTTAATCTTAACACAAATAAAATCAAAACATTGGGACTCGGATGGAAGGAATCATCCAAGAAAATAATTTACCGTCTAATCAAATACTTAAAACCAACCAAACAAACATACCACCATGGATAATCAAAAATCCAAACATAATATTAAGTTTAAACAAATTATCAAAATCAAAAACACACCCCACAACATACATTGAAAAATTCTCAAAAATAAAAGAAAAATATCAAAACTATGAAAGTATTTACACAGATGGATCAAAAGACGAAGAAAAAACAGGCAGCGCAGCAATAACAAAAGAAACAATTATCAAAAAACGCTTGCCAAATGAAGCATCAATTTTCAGTGCAGAAGCCTACGCAATAAAACTAGCACTAAATTTCATATCAAAAAACAAAGGAGAAAACTATATTATTTTCTCAGATTCATTATCGGTATTAACCTCCCTAAAAGGGAAAAGACTGGAAAATCCATTAATACAAAGTCTTCTATATAAACTACATTCAATGGAAAAAAGCAAAATATCATCTTCTGCTGGATTCCTAGCCATGTTGGCATCCAAGGAGGAGATAAGGCAGATAATGCTGCTAAATCATCTTTAAAAATGACAATTGACGAAAATCTTCAAATTCCATATACAGACTTAAAATCTAAAATATATAAATACATAAGAAACAAATGGCAAAATCTATGGAAAAACCAAACCGGAAATAAATTATTTCAAATTAAACCTAAAAGTAGGAAAATGGGGAAATGATCTTGAAATACTCGGAAAAAAACAAGTTGTCATAACCAGAACACATATAGGACACACATATTTAACTCATTCTCACATATTAAAAAAAGACAAATCCACCAAAATGTAAATGTGGAAGCCTAATCACAATAAGACATATTCTATCAGAATGCAAAATCATAACTAGAATAAGACAGAAATATCTCAATGGAAAAGATTTAAAAGAAATATTCAAAAATACAGACACAGAAAAAATATACAGTTTTCTCAAGGAAATAAAAATCCTCAATAAAATATAAATAGTGTATATATATATATATATATATATATATATATATATATGCTTATAGACATATATATGCATCTATGAATGTAAACAGTAAAATACACAATCAGAAACGGTCACAAAAAGCAATCCCAAAAAATACAGAAAATTATGAAACCCAACAACCTTTCATCTTTTTATACAAAATAACCAACTTAAATTCATAAATTAATAAGGCTTCGGCATAAATTGACCCAAATAGGAGTTGACATGCCGTTAAATCCAACATCCATCCATCCTACAATAAGAACAAATCTCTCCATTTACATATCTTTTATTACAGCAGATTTTTATAGTTGTTCTAATTTATTGGCTGTATTGTGACTGATATGATCTACAGTTAGAATGAATCTTCTAATCTGTTACATAGTATTTATTACAGTATATTGTTATAAGTGTTCTATTTTATTAGTTATTGTTGCCAATTATTGTACTTATAAACTAAATTTTCTGGTTACTGGGTTTAATGACATTTGACACTTGTGCTATTTAATGTTGAATCCCAGTGGATTATTAGAATGTTAGATAGAGGTTTGGTTTGCACTACTCAGTCATAAAAACAATACTAATCCAAAACTTCCATGCAATAAAAAAAAAAAAATCTATTGATTTATTTTTGCAATGTTAAGGAATTGATTTTGCTCTTCATATTTTTAAATTTTCTATTTTCCAGAAAATAGATGATATAGCCATTTCAAAAAATCTATCGTATATCCTGAGGCACACAGCTGAAAAAATGAATGTTGCCATGGATTCAAGTAAGTTACCCATTAACTACAATTTATTCTGTAAAGTAATAAAAAAGCTTATACAATTTTGTAAATTAAAAATACTATATATAAATTTTATAAGACTACCTGAAAACGTATCTTGCAATCATTTTTATTAATTTATTTTTAAGTAGGGGTATACAAATAAAAAGATTTGAAATTGAGAACTTTTTCATTTCACTGAAATAGATATTAAGCACTTCTCTCTTTCCTCCTTTTCCTTTCTCTCTTCCCTTGAAACTAAGTAGCATCTCTGATATGTCAGTTCCATGTTCTCAAGTTCAGTCAAAAAAAAATAGTCCATTATTTATCATATTGGCAGGACGTAACTCTTTTCTTTCATAGAACTTGCCATGGGCTTACTCTATCATTACCTTAATTAAAATCAATCAGATTATTTAAATAGGAAAACAATGAAATTTTCATTGGTTAAATCTACAATAAATGCAATTAACTTTTCTTTTTTTTTTTTTTAGATGGATATGTTTATGTGGATGACCTCCTGAAGTTGGGTAGATTTACTGGTGTAACTGCTAATGATATCAAGAGAATTGTGAAAGAAAATGATAAGCAAAGGTTCTCCTTGATAACGGAAGACGGTACCCAGAAATTGAAGGTTCGAGCTAACCAAGGCCATTCTCTGAAGGTTAGTAGTCTTTAATAATGTTGACTGCCAGGCTTCAATTATAAAATCTGATGTTATAATAGCCAATATAAACAAAAAAAATTTGATTTATAGCTTCAACTGAAGTATTAACATTGATTTCACACTAAAATTATCTCTGTGAATAAACTCATTGGCATCTTTTTTTAAAAAAACAAAAACAAAAAAAAACTGCCAACTATGAGTACTCATTAAGTCACTTGATTAAAATCTATAACAATAACCCACCTCCCGTAAACACTTCCAACAACACATGGCAGGTAATACTAGGTTACATGATACCAGTACCACTCCTAGTGACCTAACATAATTTGACGTCAGAATGAAGGACACAAGACCAACAGATCTACTTATATATCCTGACACTGATACATGTATTTTATACATGACGGGTGTCATTATTGTCACTGGTCATATTTTAATTTATCAGCTAATTTTGATAGAGATGGGAGAAATAGAAACTATAATGAGGCTTTTTCATGTTAATTCTGGCCTAACATAGTAAATTTTTGGCAGTGGAGGAGAGAAAATTATTAAATTGAAAAGGCTATTACATGGTATTGTATGGATTCAAGTAAGTTGCCCGTCCACTGAACTGGAAGTGATGTTAAAGAAAAAACTAATATCCTTTTTAAAAATTTAATTTTATACTATTTTGTAAACCTCATTGGGGCCCTACTCACCCTTCAAGATTACACGAGGCTATTATGTGATATTGTATGGTGTTTTCTCTGATGTGCTGGCTGGTAGATGAAATAATGTTTTAGAAAGTGGGATGTTCTACTCGATGTTTGAAGTAATAAATATATAGATTAAATAAATTAATAAAATTTAAGTTGACTTAATTAACTGACTTGAGTTTTGTGTTGGACACTCATCAGGGCTAGATGTTAGATAAATTTATTGAAATCATTATCAGATCTTATATTTTTATACTTCTTGGAAGAGATACTAATCATAAATTTAAAATCCTTATCTGATGCACATGTTCTGTTTTCTATTAAATAGATGGAAAGTTTGGATCTGAACTTATCTCCTATTGAAGATCCAGACAAATTCCCCACTGTTTTGCATGGTACTTACTATGGTCACTGGGAATCGATTCGCAAAGAGGTTTGTATTAGAAATTAAATGCTTTAAACAAATCTGCTTTAAAATTTTTTTTGCTTTTTTTGGGGTTTTTTTTTTTTTTTTTTTTTTTTTGTGTTTTGGGTATATACTCTTTCACTTAATTTTTTTTTTTTTTTTTTTTTTTTTTTTTTTTATCAATAAGCCACTTTCTGGACATTTTTGGTTTTAGTGAATTGCTTTCTCTTTTAATTAAAGTAGTTGCTTTTTATTTTTCCGCTCTCTGTTTTCTTGTTTTATAGGCAATGTTAATAATGTTACAAAAAAATTGAACTTTCAAACAGTAATATTGTCATTCCTATACTTGGAATGAGTATGGTTACTACATAGAAATAATCTATTAGGTCATAAATGACAGGAAAATTAATTTGGATGCTGTATCCAACATGTTTTGTAAAAGAAAAGCTTTCAAAGAGGACAATTATTGTTTCTAGGATTTTCATTTATAATTAATATTTTACCCTTTCTTGCCTAAAACTCCAGGTGATAATTTTTTTTTTCTTTTTAAGGGTTTAAAAAGAATGAAAAGAGTGCACATCCATTTTGCACCTGGTCTCCCTGGAGAAAATTGCGTCATCAGTGGTAAGTATAATTACACTAGTATCCTACTTGTGTGTGTCTCATCTATATATATATATATATATATATATATATATATATATATATATAGTTGTCTGGAAAGTTCATGCCAACTTTGTTGTTCATTTGCCAATGCATTGGAACAGGTGAAATTTATCAATATGTATAATATGCTTAAACTTCCAATTAGAGCACACTTCAAACTCTGTTGAGAAAGAAAGTTTAAAATTACTTAATTCTTGTTAATTTTGCATCTTTATGAAAATGGAAGATTATAAGGTACATTTTAGACACTTGATGCTTTTTTATCATAAATGCAAAAATACCTCACACGCAACAAAAATGATATGTGCTATGTACAGTGAAGGTACTTTAGCTAACAGCACTGTACAAAAGTGGATTACTAAGCTTAGAGTTGGAGAATGTAGCCTTGTTAATGAAGAATGCTCAGGCAGGCACTCCACGACAGATGACGACCTAATCAAGACATTGAGAATAACCTTCATTACAAAATGCAGGAATTTGCAGAAAGACTAAATTTATCAAAATCCACCATCCATGAGCACTTAGTGAAACTTCTGTACCCAAATCACTACAATGTTTGGGTACCACGTGATCTGAGTGAAGTTGAATCTTTTGGGTCGTATTTCATTCATGATTTGCTGTATAAATGCAATAAAAATGTGAACATCAGCAAGTCTACACAGAACAAGGTGGCATGAATTAAACAACTGGATGGAACATATACAAATCTGCTTAAAAAAATCCAAAGCATCAGTTGGAGATCCTATGCAACACTTAAAATGAATGACTCACAAGCATGAATGACTCAACACCATCTGACCACTGTGTCTAACTGGTTGTTTATATATACTTTCAAGTGTTAGTCATCTGATCCTGACATCTACTTAAACCACGTGACTAGATTACATGCTTTGTGAAATCACTTTACAGTTGAAATGGTTAAATGCAACCATAATTTCTATGCTAAGTTTCTGCTCTTGCACTTATCATTTGTGGAGTTTGCTTCAGGCTTTTTGCTTTCCAGTCATTTGGTTTTCAAAAATTTAAATGCAGTTTTTTTTCTCATATTTTTTAGCATTCAGCATCTTGATGGCTTTATTGCTTTTTCTTTTTATCTCTCTCTCCCTTTTTCCGTCTCTCTCCCTCAACTGCATCAAGAAAATGGTTTAAGTTTGATGAGCCTTTTCAGGAAAAGGCCAAAGGAGGAGTAAAGATTAAACTGGAACAATAGCTTCTCAAATTGTTAATTTACATTTCTAGTAATAAACCTTGAAGAAATATCAATTTTTTTTTTTTTTTTCTCTTTTTCTAGGCATGCGCTCGACTTGTGATGTACTTATCTATATTGACCTGAAAAAAGCAATGCAAGGTAAGAAATCTACATATAAATTTGGGAATCTGAATGTTATATAGTAATATTTATTGTACAAAAAATAAAAATCTGGCACACTGTAAATTGGAATTGCTCTCCCATTTATTTGTTAGTATTGTTGACAAAATCATACTAAAACCTTTTATTTACCTTTCTCTGTTGTGCTATAAACAACATAACAATATTCTTAGGCACATATTAAACACTCTGGTTGTAACCCCACTTGTCGATCTTTGTCAACGTTAACCATATGATGTCACCCTAAGAGTTGGTCCTCAAGTTCCTTCAGACAACTTTGGTTACCATCTAGCTGACTTTTCACTTGTTAACACAGGACTCCTTTGTTGCTGATAAGTATATATGCAAGTAGGCACGGTTCCGCTTAACTTAGCTGGTGTTTGTTCACAACTATTCACTCCTCTGCCATGTGTTGTTTTTTATATCTCAAAGGGTGAGAAGATAGCTTATGAAGTTCTGGTCTTCAGGGCTGGAACACAGTCTTGATCAGGTGGTCACTGTGAACAATGTGGATTCCAGAAACAGTAGTGTAGGGGCTCTCTAAGTTGTCCAATCCTCCAACTTATATGTAGTCCTGCATCTAGCAGGGGTTGAGTTGACTAGGGTCTGGGTTTGGTTGTCTTTTTTCTTTTTTTTTTTTTTTTTTTCTTTGTATCAACCTTTTCTAAAATTCCATATTCTCAAAATGTATTTACTCGAATGGTTTTCCAAATTTGGGGTTATCCAGCCTCCTTTTGAAAGTGGTCAGAGGAATCTAGCCATTCCTTAACTCCAACTCCCTTCTTGTTCCATCTTGCACCATTGCTCCATATAGGTGGTGCTAATGACTCTTCCTTGTCTCACTTTCTCAGCCCACTCCTAGAGCTGATGTGACAAATCCACCTTCCAGGTGGTGTAGTGAAAACAGAAGGGGTTTTTCAGTCATTAATCTTTCTTTTTATTAGCTTGTTCCATGCTGTGATTTCTCAAGAATTAGTAAAGAAAAAAGAAAATTTTCCTATTCTCTTTAGTGATAAAAACAAAAGTTTATCTTTCCTCTTATGCATTTTTTACAGACCACACAGCCTTTTTGTCTGTTCCCTCCAAAGTAGTAATTCATTTTTCTTTATCACTTGTATCCAAAGGAATCTGAATTAATGTTTGGCTATTAAAAAAAATTTTTTCTGGACAAATATCACAGAAATTATAATGGGCCCCTATCTCTGTGAAGACACTTCTCTTCTGGGTGGCTGGATCAAACCAAATGTTTATTTTCCAGGCTTTTTCGTTCAGGATTGTCTTTAAATGTTATTTCACTGACCACCTGAAACTGTTTGACATGTGTTTTTTTTTTTTTTTTTTTTTTAATCTGACATCTTCACAAATACATTCTTTCTCATTTATGGGAAGTGAAGGATGGATAATCTCTTTACATAAACACATATATATATATATATATATATATATATATATATATATATATATATATATATAATTCTGTCTAGTTAAATTTGGGTTTGATTCTCTTTGGAATTATTTTAATTTTCAACACATTTCACTATTAATTTTAACTTTTCAATCAATCTTCCCATGAGTTTCAACAATTATCATCCAGTTAGTAGTCTCTTTCCTTTCCCTTTCTGGCTAAGACTATAAACTACACTCAACAGCAAGGCCTCTGATCAGGAGGTTTTGAGGAGTGTAGAACCATGTCTTAATTGCTGGTGTTCCCAGGTCTACCCTGACCTGGTGTGGTAGCACCTGTTAGGGACCCAGCTATGGGCAAATAGTTAACTGCCCAAACTGGGGTTAAAGCACTGTGAAAGTGTAATACCAGAAATACTTTGTGTGTGTAAAAAAAAAAAAAAAAAAAAAAAAAAAAAAAAAAATTTCCAAAGATACATTTTTGAAAAAGTATATATTACCAGCAATAAAAATGTTGTCAGCATTAAATAACCCATTGAGGCTGATATGCCATAAACCAAACCTTTTTTTTTTTTTTTAACCTCTGGAGATCCCAGCACCACGTCATGGCTTTATCCAGAATATACAAAATAAATATAAACATGGAAAGCAAGGTTATGGCTAGCTTAGATATTAAATCATTATGCACAAATATACCCATTACAAAATGCCTCAACATATTAAGAAACCACCTTAAAAATTAAAGCTTCCTCTACCTGTCTGTAACTATGTAAACTAATCATTAACCACTGTTTTCAATAAAAATATCTATAAGCAAAAATTCTGCTTACCTATGGGATCATTTATTAGTGATGCCCTTGCTGAAATTTTTAGTCTGGCCCATTTAAATGCATCATACCTACATAAAACTACTTAAGATACATAGATGACATTCTTTTATCTTCATAATATAAATCCTAGGCATAAAGAAAGTTAATAACACTGAACCTACCATTCAAAGTCACACCTGAATTTGAAATAAACAAATCTCTACCTTTCCTTGATATCTTACAAAAATCATGGTGACATTTGTTTAATAAGTCGTATGTACATGAAAATCAAACAACACAAAATAAAAATATCAAAACTTTTCCCTCCATATCTCATTATCTGAAACCTTAACAAAAGTGAAACATGTTAGATTGATAAACATTTCATATTTATTATCTTTCAGATACATTTATTTAGGTCTGAATGTTTATATATATATATATATACACACACACTAGACCACCCATAAACCAGTTTCTTTTAAGAGTAGTTCAGGATACAAAATTATAATTCAACAATATTATCACTTTTATTAATTACACATTTTAATTTGTATTTAAAGACTGTAAGACTGGGTCTCATAGTTTTCATATAGCATGAAAATTTTGAGTAATAGCTTATACAGGTATACATCTTTATTTTTTTATTTTTATTTCAAAATAATAAATATTACGTATTATGAATGTTATTTTTTAAACACATTAGTGGAATATAATATGTAAGTGTTTTACATATGTGGATTGATATAAGAATGTATCAAAAACATACTGAATTTTCTATTAAAAATGCCATAAAAACAGAAAAACTGCCCTCTCTCAAGAACCCCTTGCGTCATTCTAAAGAAACTTGGCACTGCACTCGGCAGGGGTTCAAGGTACAATATCCTCTTAAAATGGCTGGCGTATTACATATCGTTTAAGCTGTACCTTGGGAACACAGGATTAGAATTTTAATTTTATTAAACTAAATATGGGGTATGACAATAGACTACATCTAACAGCATGACCTCTGATCAGGAGATTTTGAGGAGCATGGAACCACCTTTTAATTGCTGCTGGTCCCAGGTCCACCCTGACTTGGGATTGTAGCACCAATTAGTGTTTCAGCTATGGGTAGATAGTGAACTCTTAAACAAAAACAAAACACTGTGAAAGTATAAAAATACAAATTTATAGTAAAATTCTTAGCAATCAAATTGATCAACCAACCCACAAACACTAATTACAATTTTACATTAAAAATGCTAGATACAGGGACACATGACTTTAAATGTACATTTTTGATACCCAGTGTTTCTTAATGAATAACCTTTCATTTAAATTGAATTTCGAAAGTTAAATATAAAGTTTTATTTAATCCTGTAAATAAATCTAAAAATTCTATTAACTTTTTAATTTTTTAAATTTAAAAAAAAAAAATTTGTGTGGGTTTTTGTAACTTTGTGTCGTTTTTGTGTTCCTGTTGTTTTTGCGTGTGTCTTTGTGGGGTTTTTTTTTTTTTTTTTTTTTTTTTTCTCTTGGGAGAATTGTATATTTAATTTTATATTTTTATTAATTTATTTATTTATTTATTTATTTTTTTTCCCCAATTTCAGATGGTTTAAAATTTTTCTTGTCGGCTAACAATGTCATATTGTGTAGCGGGAATAAAGATGGAATTGTTGCTCCGAAATATTTCTCCAAAGTGATTGATCGTAAACACGGTATGTTGTTTTTTGTTTTGTTTTTTTTTTTTTTTTTTTTTTTTTTTTTTTTTTTTTTTTTTTTTTTTTAATAGATGCCTTCTATAAATTGTACTGAATACCTTTTTTCATGTCACTGACTATTCAGTATTATAAAACATTGGAGTTGATTTCAACATTCCATTGAAATTAAAGTTAATTTTATTATGATTAAGTTAAATATTTCAATTCATTTGTGTCATCATCGGTCTGGTTTACAAGTTGATGTTTAACTCCAGTAACAGCCATTTATTTATAGCATATGTGAACACTTGTACAAAATCCAAAAGGAATTGTTATGTTACTGTATAAACAACTCGTATTTTTAAATTTTATTCACTTAAAATATCTTAAAAATCTTAACTTAAATCATTATGCGCCGGATGCACACACTACACAAGAACGAAAATAATTACAGACTTTTAGTATTATATAGATATTGGATATCCAGTCTTAGAAAATTTACAAATTAAAATCATACCTAAGGGGAGGTAACTCAAGCTCGTCTTTTCTTCATAGCAAGTGGCGATCAAATTTTCATAATTAGTCAAGTAGCTTTTCCAAATAACTCTATCAAGAAAGTTTAATAATAATCGTGTGAATTAGCAGATATATTGGTTTGCTGAAAACAAAATGAAACCTATTTTTGCATATTTGGATTTTTGAAACTAACTTTTTTTTTTCCAATTTTATTTATCCTATAAAAACTAGAAAGAACTCACAACAGTTGCAAAAATTGATTTGCCAGATGAGCTTACTATTGTACCCCAGTAGGTGCCCATTCATAACAAATTTTTTTTTTTTTTTTTTTTTTTTTACTATCTTCAGTAAAGATTTGCTTAAATTAGAATTTCTGTATGTTGTAGGAAAAAAATTTGTTGTGCTTTGAATGGCATTCATTTATTAAAAATTAATTTAAATGATTTTATAAGTAGGATTCTATTTACAATGTAAGTATTCTGCTTAAAGACTTAGCTTTGTATGTGTTATGTAAACGGCAAGTTGTTTTGTTTTTGTTTTTTATTAAATCTTTTGGCTTTAATAATAGTGTGAATTACCATCAATTTGATTTGTTTGCAAAAAATAATTATCTTTTATACTTTTCTTTTTCCTTAGAAATTATTTTTTATTTATTTTTAAAATTTTTTTTTTTTTTTTTTTTTTTAAATTGTATAAAAACCAGAAAGGGTACTCATAACATATTACAAAATGGACAAAGTCTAACAATTATTTTAAGATATTTTCTGTTTATACGTTATTTTTATAGATACAATTATTTAAGTAAATGCTCTGTTTATAATAAAAAGTATTAACTACATTTACTGGCCTGAATAATGTTAATACTGTTTATTATAAGCAGAGCATTTACTTAAATATTTGTATCTATAAAAATAACATATAGACAGAAAATATCTTAAAATCATGATATATAATCTAGAAAATTGAGAACTAAATGATGTATCTATAATATTTTAAATGGGTGTGTTTGAAAAATGCCACAGTACAAATGCTGTAACAATGCCCCAATGAGGGGGTTAAGACAATTATTTATTTTATTATTGTTATACTTAATATATGCATAGATATATCTGAAGCATAATTTGGTACAAAACCAAAATACAGACATTTAGTAAAAACTGAACATGTTAGTAGTGATTTGTGAGATGAAATATTACTTTGATTGGAATCTATATATGTAGATATTTATTAAACATACTTTAAGCTGGTACACCATACTGAAGCACCATTTTGGTAACTTTGAGGAAGTGTTGAACAGAACCATTTTAGTCTAGCAGGATATACTCTTGTTTTTGTCATTTTGTCTTTTCTGATATTGTTGCTAGGGATTTTAAACTTTGCCACTTTTCTCTTTGTACTTTGTGACTCTAGCCAGTGGACAAAATCATTAGTTTTATTTCCTTCAATGAAGTAGTATAGCAGAGTGAGAACAGAAGTAAAAATGTGAATTCTTCCTCATTAAGTACTATATCCCTTTAAGAAATAAATGATTATGGCACTCTGCAATTCCCTTCTATTTTTCATTTCTCTAAACTGCATTATCATAATTGTTCTCATGAAAGATATAGTTTTGAATTCCTAGTTGATTTTCTCCTAGACTGGTTACCAACCAAGGCTGAAGAACAGACTTCCTGTCTATTTTTTATTAGCTTGGAATAGAAGGGATGGAGTGATGTTTTTCTTTTTTGAGAGCATTAATGCAAAGTGAGCATAGACCATTTCAGCTGGAATTTGATCTCGGCTTGCTGTTTTCATTGTCTGGACTGTTAACCATTAAGCTACCCAAAGTTTCCAATCTCTATAAATGACATTGGACATAATAAAAAGACAATAATAATATTTAGTGTGGTACAAAGCTGCATTAGCGAGACAGTACAGACTGAACTCACTAGGAATAGCTTGTGAAATGAACTTATTAATCTATAGTTAGCATCTGTATGTGTAGATATTTACTAAAAGTAGTTTAAGGTGGAACTATTGGTTGGTGGGTTGGTTTTCTACTGCTTATCAACCTTTTGCAGGTTATTTAAAGCCTGAAAATTTTTTACATTTTTTTATTTTTAAAGATAGTAATGGTTTACTAATACAAATCTTATTAACTAACTAACCAACCCACAGCATGGAGGAGGAGGAGTGGAGTCATACCTTCTCCAATGGTATTTGCATATTAGTGAATATAACAAACCAACTTAATTCACTATTCCAAGCCATTATATCCAAGCTTATAGTGCCCAGTATTGCGAGTTGCCCATGTAGCTACTGACCATACTTGATGGCGCCTAAAATTTAGTGATCACACTAAGTGTTTCAGTGTGATGTGGCTGATGTTTGATCGTGAGAAATACTGGTTTTTGGGATGTGTTGGGCTAAGAACTTTTCAGTCACCTCAGAATGTTTGAAAAATGCACAAGGCCTTCCACTGAGGGTCGGACCTACTACAAATGGCTTGTGAAACTAGCTTGTTGATTATCATTACTTACCAACTGCTTCCCTTTAAATAGCTGTATAACTCCAGTTTGTAACCCCCCCCCCACTTTTTTTTTTTCTTATCTGTGTAACTATTTGTTTGGTATCCGTCCAACTTGAAATTCATTTCATTATTGTCTTGATACAACACTGTTTTATAAATTTATGAAATGCAAAGCTAAAAGATTTTTTATTTTTTATATATTACCATGGTTATGAAGACAACGTTACTATGGTTACAGACTTTTAAACTATATTGCTGTAAAGCTTCTGAAATAGATAGTTTTTGCCAGTCCCATTTCCTTAAAAGCCAATGGGTAGGACTATTAGATATTTTTTTTTTTTTCTCCTAAATCTAATTTACCCCAAGCAAGGCAGTAAAGCCACTAAGACACAAGGGGTTACTGGCTATGAAAGAATTAGAAAACCGAACATTATGAAGGAGCAACAACAATAGAGTAATCAGACAATAGATAACAATTGACATTGCATTTAAATTTTGACAGTTCAAAGCAAAGTTGGCTAAAAAGGGGTCTAATGGGTCTGAAAGAATTCTATAAGTAACAAAAACTATTATCATAGAAGTTAGGGTTACATCTAGCCAATTCAACTTTAAATGGATGAGGCCTTGTTGCCAAACTAGTACTGCATTTAATTTCATAAGGTCTAGATACCATAGTGGAGAGCTCATTGAAACAGCTGTGTGTGTATATGTATGTGTGATATATATCAGTAAAAAGATCAAATAGGAAATGTTTATCAATCCAACATGTCTCACTTTTATTAAAGCTTCATCAGAGAATGAGATGTGGAGAAAAAGAAATTCTGGTATATTTACCTTTGTGTTTTATTTTCATTAGTTAATCATGTTTCATGTGCATTTTTTTTTTTTTTTTTTTTATTTTTGGTAAGCCAACGTTTAGGTTTTTTTTTTTTTTTTTTTTTTTTTTCAAATAAAAGGAGACAATATGTGCATCCAAAGTTTCAAGAGTTGGATGGACACATTTCTCCCATATCTCTGAAGCTTAAAAAGTAAAAACATTTTAGATTCATAAACATTTCCTATGTATTCTTTCTTATTTTATCAGATTCTGACCCATATGTGATCTTTACTCATAAACAAAAATGACAACTATTAACTATGCCAATGTTACTCTAGAATTGTGATGGAATGTACAGTCAGATTTTATTACACAAGTCAATGTTTTCACATTAATAATGTTTTGATGATAATGTTTTCCCAATTGATATTAACAAAACAAAACTGGTAAACAGTTTCAGGATATATTTGTCATGCATGTTTCAGCTCATATCTATCCAAATGAAAAAATATTGAAAATAATTTGTTCATAAATTTTTATTTCTAAATATTTATATATATATAATTAAGAAATGAACAGTCCGACAATTTATTTATTAAAGACATTTTTATGTTTAACGTTCTTTTTTTATAGATACAAGTATTTAAATTAGTAAATGCTCTGTTTATAATAAACAGTAATAAATAACATTTACCGGCCTGAATGTCCGAGAAATTTTCATAGAAAATATTCGTTCTTTGACAGGATTCGAACCTGCATCCTATACGGAACCGTCATTTTGTTTGTGGCCGATTGGTAAGGCACGTCAGCGTAAATGACGGTTCTGTATAGGATGCAGGTTCGAATCCTGTCAAAGGATGTATATTTTTCTATGAAAATTTCTCGGAAATTCAGGCCGGTAAATGTTATTTAATACTGTTTATTATAAACAGAGCATTTACTTAAATACTTGTATCTATAAAAAAGAACATTAAACATAAAAATAAATATATATATATATATATATATATATATATATATATATATATATATATTATATATTTGAAAAAACTTTTTTTTTTCTTTTTTCTCAAATATGTGCTCTTTGAAAGATTAATGAAGGCTATAGAATGTCAGACATTGATTTTGTTATTGTTTCAACATTAACATCACTTGAACCAGTTTTTATTGCTACCCAGGGATGATGATTTTTTTTTTCTTTTTTTTTTTTTTTTTTTTTTTTTTTTTTTATCTCGAGCTCTTTTTAATGATTAACCAAATTGTTTTCTATTAGATATCTGGTGAAACTGGGTACCATTTCATTAATCTTGTGTATTGTCACCTTTGTAGAATGTGAAGGAACATTTTTATTTTGCCTAAATAGACTCTTTAGCTTAAAACTTTGGTTGTGAACTGTATAAAAGAGAAAAAACAAAACATTTAAAAACTTGTACTAATTCTTTGTCTTTATTACTATGATAAATTTAGAAGTGACCAAAAACCAAGTTTTACTACCTATAATACTAGCCTAAAACATTACCTCTCTTTGTTATTGAATTCATCCATCTTGGATTTGTGTAGTATAGCTCTGAATTTCTTTACTAAAAACTAATTTTATAATGTTATGTTTTTATAACCTTTGAAAATAAAGTGGATACTTTGTATCTGAAGTGGGCAGCCCATTTTTACTTAAGCAGACCATGTCCTGCTCATTCAAGAAATCTTAAAGAAAAAGCCTCTGTCCTCTCCCTGTCAGCAGGGATCAAAGCACAAATTATGCACTGTTTAATAAATAAAATTGGGGCCATCTATTTCAAATACAAAGTATCCAGCTAAATAATATTTTAAGTTATAAAAATTGATTAAAATGGAATTCATTAATTCTTTTGAAAATAACACTGATTTGAGATTTTGTGATACTTATTCTGTTAATTATAATCCAATTTTTTATTGCAGCATGTTGGTTGACATCACAATAACATGATTAATTGGAATCTTTTTTCCTTTTTTATTTTTAGGAAATTGTTTACCTCTAGATAAGGAATCGGGCAGTCCAAAGAAAGTCTTGCCTGTTGGAATGTCAGAAGAGGATCTTGTCAAGAACCAACAGTCTAAGAAAAAAACAAAGAAATCTAAAAATGATAGGGATGTGGAAAAGAATTCACTGGGTAAGTACAAGTATTTTTAAAAAAAAAAAAAAAAAAATAAAAAAAAAAATTAATTGGATAATTCAGTCCAATTTTGTAATTAAGTTGTTTGGTAAGAATTACCAAAAAAATGTCTAATCTTTGCCTGTGAATCTATATTGCAATCCATCAAAGCATGGCAACTTAACCTCACAGCAATAACTGGTAAAAAGGGGAATTCAAAAATATAGGCACTATTTTCTGATGGAACTGTTAAATAAGAAGCATGTATAGGGAACGTAGACTTTGTTCCTGCTCCAGTGTTGCTGCTTTATGTGCCCTGCCTCCTTGGGATGTAGGCGATCATGGCTCTCCACAATGAATCATATGAAGAAATGTGAAAATAATTGGAGAGTTGTGGTAAAATAGCAAGATGGAAGAAAAAAGATGAATTGTAAATTAATAATGATTCTTTATCTAAGCAATATGGACATTTTTTCCCCAGGGAAATCTCTACTGATGCCTACACCCAAGCAATGAAGGGGTTCAAATGTCTTAGGAACTGGTTATATATATATATATATATATATATGTATATATATATATGTGTGTGTTCACAGCCAATCTGTGAAATGGAATTTTCAAATTCATTCCCATAGCTCCTTGAAAAATCACTGAACTCAGAACTTTCTAATGCATTGAATGATATGGGGTGGGGAAAATTGTGAAAATGGCTTACCTCGGAAACGCGTTCGAATCTGTGCAGTGTGCAAACTCTGGTCCTTCCAACAGCAAAAGAAACCAAAATGGCGGCACCCATATTTTATGCCGAGCGGTCTCGGTTAGTTAACATGAAATCTCGTTGTCTCGTCAATCGCATGCAAATCGTGGTCAGTCCGTGGCTGTATAAAGCAGGCTCATTTTGCTGTTTCGAAGCAGAGAGCTTTCAGCTCGTGAGAAGGTTGGACATGCGACACTGGTTTCTTTGTTCCTACCTGCTATCATCAGTTGAGTTGTTGCGTTACCTACCACAAGCTATTTCGGCAATGGACAAGTTCGATCTAAAATTGATCCTAGAATTCGACGGCTCCCCCACGGGCCCGACTATCATCGAATGGTTTGAAAAGGCCGAACGTGTTTGGATTACGGTTTGGTGTGCAAGGATCCAGTGCAACTGAGAGATGGAGCAAGAGTTCTTGGCTTGCAGGTCTGGGAAGAAAATGGCACCCTCCGATGGAAACGAGGAGGTCAAATTCGAAGCCCCTGATGTGTTGACCGGCGCGCCAGATTTTCATTGTGTGGGAAACTTGTTGGACATTTCCTGTGTGTGTGGATGGCTCAGGGTGGCAGTTGCATTCGTCAAGTGCCTGGCAACCGCAGCAACCAATGGATGGGATGATAACATCAAAGATCCCTCTCTCTGTCGTGATACTAGCAGAGATGTTAAATAGAGTGCGGAACTGGATCCTGTTGGAGGAGACTGGTGCATGAGTGGTGACTAGATCACAGTCTGGGTGGATGCGAGTTCCGTGGCGACAGGAGTGGCATTGAAGTAAACGGAAATGTCATCGAAGATGCATGCTGGCTGCATCCGACTAATGATGCCAGGCATATTAATTTGGCTGAACTCGTCGCGGCGCTTAAAGGAGTGAATATAGCTTCTCCAGTGGGAGGGCGACAACATTGCACTTGGTTACTGATTCGGTGCACATGCACCGGTGGATTTCAGACACCTTGACCAGGAAGGCACGGGTGAACACAAGGGCGGCTGGCGAGATGCTGGTTAGGCGACGGCTTGGCATTTGGCGATCGCTGGTGGAAGAATATGGATTGACCGTAGACGTGCCACTCGTACAGTCCTGACAGAACTGTGCAAATCACCTCACCAGAGTACCGCACAGGTGGCTAGAACTGCTCAAGAGAGGAGAACCGGCACTCGAGAGCTGTGCAGTGGTAGGGAGACGACTGGATGAGGACCAGGTTGCCCATCGTCAATGCGGACATCCGGGCGTGAAATGAACTCTGTACTTCGCCAGGTTAGTCGACCCCGCAGGTGTCCAGAGAAAGCGTTAAATCCGTTGTGAAGGCCTGCACAACCTGTCAGTCGATCGATCCGGCACCCGTTCACTGGGAAAGAGGATAACTGAGTGAAGAGCAACTGGAGCAGACTGGCGATGGACATAACTCACTACAATGGTGAGAATTTTTTAACGCTCATTGATTGCGGTCCCTCCAGGTTTGCGGTATGGCGGTCGCTGCGCAGACAAGACGCGACCACCGTCATTCGACTGTTGGAGAATGTTTTCCTGGAGCGAGGCCCACCCGTGGAAATACTGACGGACAACGATACTGCATTCACCAGTAAAGATTTTAAAGAACTTGCGGACAATTGGGACGTGCATCTGCGGTTTCAATGTGCTTACTCGCCAAGTGGAAACGGTATCGTGGAGCGGAACCACAGAACCATCAAGACCATTGCGGCCAGGAAGGGCTGTACAGTATCGGAGGCGGTTTACTGGTATAATGTCGTCCCGAAAGATAACGTTTCACCATCCACGGCACCGGCTGATGCACTGCACAAATATCATGTCCGTGTGAAAGGCATCAAAGCCAACCCGCTGCCTGAACTAGAAGTGACTGGAGGGAGATTGAAAAAAGGAGACGTTGTTTGGGTCAAAAACCCACGCGGCAAGTGTACGACAAAATACGGCACTGGACGTGTTACGGAGGTGATCAGCCCGCAATCTGTGAGAGTTGATGGGGTGCCTCGTCACATTAAAGACTTGCGACCGGTGATGCAATCACTACCATTACTGAGCGATGAAAGCGATTCCGAGTCTGGGAGTAGTGAGCGTTCAATCTGCCTTGAGTTAGACCTGCAGGGCAGCGATTCTGATAACAGCAGTCTCCCGGCGGACACAGTGTTTACCGACACTCAAACCACAGACGAGAACACGCACGCGGATGAAGCTTGTGTTGTCCCCCTTCGGAGGGGGACTCGACAGCGACGATCGCCACCTCCTTGCCCTGTTTGTGATCATGAGATCAGGGGGGAGTGTGGGGAAAATTGTGAAAATGGCTTACCTCGGAAACGCGTTCGAATCTGTGCAGTGTGCAAACTCTGGTCCTTCCAACGGCAAAAGAAACCAAAATGGTGGCGCCCATATTTTATGCCGGGCGGTCTCGGTTAGTTAACGCGAAATCTCGTTGTCTCGTCATTCGCATGCAAATCGTGGTCGGTCCGTGGCTGTATAAAGCAGGCTCGTTTTGCTGTTTCGAAGCAGAGAGCTTTCAGCTCGTGAGAAGGTTGGACGTGCGATACCGGTTTCCTACCTGCTATCATCAGTTGAGTTGTTGCGTTACCTACCACATAAGCATTATTTATGCGAGATAGTTATTTGTCTTCTAGGATTAGTAAAAAATTTGAGTAAAAGCATCTACTTCTTTCAATCCTGAATAGTTAGACTAAAATATAAATAAACTTGAGTACATGTAGAGAAGATGTTACTGTATTTTCTTCTGCATGGTATGAGAAATTTTGAATGAAGATTAAAGGCAAAAATGGAGGTGTCATTTTATACACAAACTTAAAAAACCTCTTATTTGAAATAGCAAGATTGCATATACACCCAGCACAAGTTGTAGTCTCTGTCTGTCCATTTGTTATTGAACTCCTCCTAGGATTTTAGAAATAGACACCCATAACCATATATATATATATATATATATATATAGTCTGAAACTACATTACCGGGGTACTTGGATAAGTATTTCATATTGATCAAAGGGGTCCCAAACCCTCCACTGAAAGTCTTTCTCGCCTTGATTTAAATTAAATTTAAATTTGAACAAGGGTATGACTCCTATCTAAAATATAGACGGAGAAAGCCTTGAAAGATGGAGGTCACATCAGCTAAATCATTAAGTAATACTGAAATGCATTATTTTTCTTACAAAAATAATTCGGCTAATACATAAGACACTAAGGAGGCAGTAATTTTTGTGACTCCGGCATTTCACTTTGTGACCCCCCATCTGCTTTAGAAAACTGCTTTTTTACATTTGGAAACTAAGTAGATATGAAAATTTCAAAATCTTTAACGCAAAGAAGTTTGCTTAAAGGCACTATTCAACCTTGTCTGATTGGCTCAGTTCTCTGTTGTTCAGTCAGTCTGGAGCACATCAAAGCTAACAATAGTTCTCTCTGCCCAGAGGGTGCAGGTTCAAATCCTGCTGGAGAGTGCATGCCTTTTCTTTAATAATTTCTCAAATATTTAGGCTGATAGACAGAAAATAAATATACTGATTAATAAATGCAACATCTACTCAAATATGAGTATCTACTAAAAAAATGTTTAAAGTGAGAAAATCTGTTGGGCTAATGAATAAAAATTCATTACTTCTTTGGAATAAATATATAATGTACACACACACATATATATATATATATATATATATATATATATATATATATATACATACATATATATACACACGAATGTGGTTAAATTGATTTTTTTTTTTTTTTTTTTTTTTTTTTTTTTCAACCAAATTAAAATCATCTAGACAAGGAAGCTTGTAACCCAAAGAAAAAGAAATTGTCAGCTGTAGAGGAAGATAATGCCAAGAACCCAGATGCTCAGAATTCAACAAGTAAGAAAAAGGCAAAGAAATCTAAAAAAGAGAAGGATACAGATGTGAATTCACCAGGTAAGAAAGAAAATTGGCTAAATTGTTTAATCATGATTTGGTAACAAGTTCTATAAAATTCTCTGCTAGAAATTCCTCAGTTTTCTGGAAGACATCGACTTAAATTTTATTTTTAAGAGATTTTTCTATATTTTAATGGCATGACTGATTATTTAGTTACTTGCATCATGGCTGACAAGACTGTACATATGCGTTACCATTTCGCCTCCTACTGAAAGACCACATAGATCGCTGCCACATGTATTGTTCTTTAAATAAAACTAGTAATAAAATTCAGGTTCTACAATATTATTAATTCTTTTTCATGTATTGATCATGTACAGCAAAGAAACCCGGGTTATTGGACTGATTCACAAGCCAAGATCTTTGCTAAATTGTATTTCATACTGGAGGCAATTCACTAGACATCTGATACTGGAGGCGTTTCATTAATGATCAATGGTAGCCATTCCTTATCTTCATCTTTACAAACAAGCAGTCCTACTCCACCATATGTCTAACTTTTTTCTTTTTAACAACAGCTTTAAGATATTCAAATTAGCTTCTTTTCTTCCATATTGATTTTATTTGTTGTGAAGGAGGGAGGTTATTTTTTTAAATTCTTAATTAAATAAAATTTGACATGATATTGTTTTGCTAAGCAAACCAAATAAAATGTTTAAATTCACAGTTGAAGCAAAAACTGCTGGGAGCAACACAGAAGCAGCAAGCAAGACAAAGCCCCCTAAAAATGGTAAAAATCCAACTAATGTGGCTGAAAAACCAGGAGAGAAATCATCAAAGAATGCAACCAAAAAAAATAAAAATCAGGACAAGAAATCTCCAGGTTTGGACAAATTGATTATCTTCTTTTTTTTTCCCTAACACTTTTCAACTTTGAGGGAGAGCTGAGGTTATTAGCCAGTGCATGGGGTGTCTCCCAAAAGGAAATGCTGAGGGTCCTTGAAATCCCACTTTAAACTAATCTTTATGAACTCCTGAACATGTTACAGCACACACACACACACACACACACACGGAAGAGGTTATAGTTGTTCCAATGAGAGAAAAGTGTATATTTTAAAGAGAAAAACCACAAACGTTTTTGGTTATAATGTGAATTTTTTAAAAATATATATTATACTTTATTTTCCATATGGGAAATAAAGTGTGTGTGTGTATATATATATATATATATATATAAAAATCCACATTATAACCAAAAACGTTTGTAGTTTCTCTTTTAATACATATTATATATGACCACCAGTGATGGAAAAACAGATAATTTATAAGAATATAAAGAAATACAGATAATGGTGGTGATAAAGAGAGCCTATTTCTGAGCTGATTTTAAGCTAATTTCAAGCAAAACACTTTCCAATTTCTTTATGCTAGACTAAGCTGAACTTTGTAGATAGTGATTTATTAAGTATATCTTAGATGTAGTGCAAAGCTGCATGTATCGTTCATCCAGTGATAATCAAAACTCACTATTCAGTCGTAACTGATCTAGAAAGACAAGTTTGCTGACCATTACAACACATCAAAGTGCAATTTGTAAATATCTAGACATATGGATATATAGACTTTTGAATGCACCATTCGTCTCTTAATTTACAAGGGTGTGCTGAAAAGTTCTTGACCTACTTTGAAAAATCTAATCAAATAACCAAAACGTCAATTAATTTTGAAATAATTTTATTTGGTTGGGCCAATAACTTTTTAGCACTTTCTTGTATTTTAGAGCAAATGAGCACATCATTGAAACGAAGGATAAATATAAATAATCTGGATTTCGCTTGAAAATGACTAGGTTCAATCATAATTTCACTTGATTTGTATTTAATCAGTGATGACCAAAGATTATGAAAGCTGAGGTGTTATTTCCATTTATGCCCTGTTGGTTCTGGCAGTGAAGGGTATACTAATCCAGAGTATTGTGATAAAAGGCTCAAATAATCAGATTGCGTAAAATTAGTAATAAGTTAATGTTAATAATGAAGGGTGTCTTTATATAATGAGTACTGTGATAAAAACAATAGTGAAAAACAATATTAAAATAATATCGAGTATATCAATTTAGAATATTGATAAAAAAAAATCAGCAGTAATAACATAGCAGAAAATACTGCTACTAATAAGTGTTTTTTTTTTTTTTTTTTTTTTTTTCCCCCACTAAAATAAAATAAAGCCACTAAAACACAAAAGGGGTTGTTGAGTGTTAGAGTATGAAAACAAAAATACTGTTGAGAGAACACAATAAAGAACGAGAATTAAAAGAGAAAATAATTGACATTGCATTTAAATTTTTGAAAGATCAAAGTTGACTGGGATGCAAGAAACCAAAAGAGTTCCACAAGCGAGAAGTGCAATAGAAGAAACTGTTAGCATAGAATTTAGTTACGTGTAACTATTTCAATTATAAAATGACAAAGCCTTGCTGCAAATCTAGTACTGCACTTAAATTCATAAAATCTCAATGCCATAAAGGAAAGTTCAGCAGAACAATTACCATGAAAGTATTTATAGAAAAGAGACATAAGTTGCACTATGACAGTTAGAAAGCGACTGAAGTCAAGATGACATGTCAGGACCAATAATGGTGCAGATTCTTTGGCTTTTATCAATAATCTCTAAACGTATATCAAGAACACCAGACCATATGTAATACCAATATTCAAAGCCGGGATGAATGGTAGGCTTATAAAGATGTAAGATAGATTCTGGAGAGAAAAATTGTCTAGCACAACACAATGATCCAACTTTCCTAACCGTAGACCTTTGCAATTGATTCAATATAATCTTTCCACTTCATATCTGCTGTAAATGTTATCCCAAGAAGGCAAAATGAGTCACTCTCCTGAAGGTTAGCATCAGCTATACTGAGGGAAGTCAAAGATGTCTCTCAGATGATTGATAGAGCAGTTTCATTTTGGAGGCATTAGAATTAACAAGTCATTCCTTGCCCTAGTTAACAGCAGATTGTAGCTCATTTTTTTTAGATCAGCTGGCAATTTGATCTTATCAGATTGAGTTGGAGTAGTTATAAAATAATAGTAATAATGAAAAGTGTACTGATTTAGACTTGTGATAAGTCAAATAAGATTGCATAAATCTAGTAATAATATTAATAATGAAAAGTGTATTCACTCTGCAACAATCAGATAGCATGAGAATAAAATATTAGAAATAAGTCTTGAGATAAAAAGCCACAATTAGATTCAGACATATATTAGTGTAATGAAGACATAGGATAAAAAGGGACAATAATTATTTCTGTTTGATTCTATTTAAAAGATGAATCTCAAGATAACCTAAATGAAGAGGTTTCTTTATCACAAGGTAATTGTTTTTGTCTTATTGTTGTACTCAAGAAGATATTGATAGCACAGATGTTCATCATCCATCTTGTTAAATTCACAATCTTTAATGAACCAGGAAAAATCTGCAATCCACACAAGAAATTTTGGTGGGAAAGATGGCCAGGATTTTTTTTTTTTTTTTAAATCAATGTTTCAAAATCTTTTTCTTTGGGGTTTAATGTCTATATTTTTTAACAATTTAAATGCGTGTATCTACAAAGGGAGAACAATAAGTTTGTAGCTTGGCTTGTATATAGTAACTGAATTTTGATCTGAAATTTTCATTTTATAATGTTTAATCTATGTGATTAACATTTGTTAAATGCTTTTTTTAACATTAGGTTATAGACTTGCTGATGTACTTAATGTGTGTACATGTCACAATATCCCTCCCTCTCTCTCATATATATATATATATATATATATATATATATATATATGTATGTGTGTTCCTGGGTATGACAATAAACTATACCTTGGGTCAAGGTGAACTCGGAAACAACAGCAATTAAGAGGGGGTTCCATGCTCCTCAGAACCTCCTGGTCAGAGGCCTTGCTGCCAGGTATAGTTTATCATACCTAAGACACATATATATATATATATATATATATATATATATATATATATGTGTGTGCTGTGTTGCCGGTTGTTCTGGAGTGGTTCAACTCCAAGGCTAATAAAACCTGAGGTCTGTTATTCACTGTTTCTGTAGCAATCTTTTATACTGATTTTGTGTTATCAGTAATTACAAAAAATGTGGATGGTCTTGCACATGCCTGACTTTTTATTATTTCCTTTTTCTTTTTTTTTTTTTTTTTTTTTTTCCTTTCTGAGTCCATCATATTTGCGTAGAAACCTTTCATTTAATTTCATTTTATGTTTTTATGAATATGATAGAAAATAATTTTTTTTTTTTTTTTTTTTTGGTCTGTCAAATTCAATAAAACTTGTGTGTTTTATATGAATGTGCATGTAATATACAGGGTGTCCCCAAAAATTTGACATTTTAAAAACAATTGAAAACTGCTAAGTCTAACTCGATGAAATTGAACAGTTTAGGTGTTGGACATATGCTTATTATGAGGCCAACTTCATAAGTGTTCAATATGTGCACCACCTGTGACATGGCACACATCAAGTCGGTAGTTAAGCTCTTGCCAAACACGCTGTAGCATGTCTCCAGTAACATTATCCAGTGCAGAAGTGATTCTCTGCTTGAGTTCATCAATGCTAGCAGGAAGAGTGGGGACATAGACCAGTTCCTTCACATATCCCCATAAAATGAAATCATGTAGGGACAGGTCTGTTGACCGCAGCAACCATTTCATCACAAAACTGTCTTCATCTCCACAATGCCCAGTCCACCTCTGGCAGATTCTCAGTGAGATAACAAATAAAATATTAAATATAAAATCTTGATCTGTTTCTATACATTCTGTGAAAATTTGAGGTTATTTCAACAAGAATTGCCCAAATTATTGGCCTCTGGAATGATATCAATTTTTTTTTTTTTTTTGACACCCTGTATGATGAATATGTATGTTTAGCTATCATCATTTCAAATGTACAAATGTCTATATATATATATATATATATATATATATATATATATATATATATATTATAAAAAAGAACAAATAACATTTATCAATCTAACATATCTTTTATTAAATCTTCATCAGAGAATGAGATATGGAGAAAAAGAAAATCTGGCATTTTTACTTTTGTGTTTGAATTTCATTGGTTAATCAGGTTTCAGCTAAACTAAATATATAAAGCATGTAATAATTCTAATTTTGTCTGTGAATCAGACAATGTATATTCATGTGTTTGTCTAGTAGACTTTAATTTGGGAACATTTTTACATGTATAACGTTTGTTTTAGATATACATACATTAGATTCTTTAAGAATGTATTCAATAAAGGTTGATGCTGTAATGTTTTTGATGCAGGTTTATACTTTGTAATATTATTAGCAATTCCTCAAAGTACTTCCAACGTAAAGAATTATGTTTTTTTTTTTTTTTTTAATTTGGCATTTGTAAAATCGAAGTTATGGCCAGTTTTGTTAAAGAATTTTTTAAAGATTGTCTAAACGTAAATCTCAAGTGTTTTTAGATTTCATGTCTCTGATATAAATGCTTTTACATTGTAAGCACATCCTGGGTATGACGTTAAACTGCATCCAACAGCAAGGCCTCTGATCAGGAGGTTTTGAGGAGCGTGGCACCACCTCTTAATTGCTGGTGTTCCCAGGTCCACCTTGACCTGGGGTGGTAGCACCTGTTAGGGTCCCAGCTATGGGCAAATAGTGAACTCCTAGTTTTTCTAGCTCTTACCCACATCCTGGGTATGGCAATAAACTACGTCCAACAGCAAGGCCTCAGATAATGTTGCCAGCTATGCGTTTTTGAAACAATGATGTTGCCAGCTATACGTTTAATAGTACTGTATATTTAATATATATATATATATAATGTGTGCGTATGTATATAACTTAATTTGGCATTAAATGACCTACAGTGGTTGATATGCCATAAAACCCAATCAACCAACATTGTAAGCAATTTATTTGATAAGTATAAGCAACTGAATTGGTGTTGGATTTATTTTCCTTCCTAATTATATCTCTTGTCTTGGATTTTGTGGTAAAGATCTTGGTATTAGGGATAACTAATTTTTTTACAAGTTTTGTTAGAACTGCTATTGGTGATGTCTAGTTTAATGGATTTGTAAGTTTTCTAGCATTGAGGATGAAATAATGTGGGTAGTAAAAAGGCTAGATGTTTTCTCGATGTATTTCTCTTCTTCACTTAGAATTATATAGAATTACTCTAACTTTTGTTTAACAAGTCGAATGTATGTGAAATCTGATTAACCAATGAAAATCAAACACAAAAGTAAAAACATCAAAGTTTCTTGAAAGGTACCCATACATCTCTTATATCTCCAGCCATGGATTAAATAGCAGGATAGAGTAGGCCCTATATCCTTGGTTGGTAACCAGTGTAAAAGGAAAACTGAATTCAAATCCTCCTGGAGAGGATCAGCAAAGGGTGAATGAGCTTCTTATAAGCTTCTTATTCTTAATGCACAGTTAAATGGAAAACTCCTATTCAAATAACCTGACTGTAGCATTGTCTGACATGTGGTATACAGTACACCAGTACAGGGCATGGTGCTATGATGGAGTGAGTATACATTCCAAGGCACAGGCAATTGACCACTTTAAACAATTCACTTGGGCAGGTTCTTCAATAAAATCTTATTTACTGAACCCTCACCTGTTGTTCTTGACTGGAGAATCCACACACACACACACACACACACAGAAACAATTTATACAAAGAATTAAATAGTAATGTTAATGTGACTAATAGTGAAATCACTTCACTAACAGAACTTAATGAGATGCTAACTTACTATCAATTCCTTAAATAATTATATTTGAGTTGTCAGATGTAAGACATGCCAAGCATTATTACAATTTTCTTATATATAGGCAAATACCAAGACAAGCGATGTGTAGACTGAAAGATGTATTGTAAATTATGCTATTTATTGACAGTTGAATATGTTTTGGATATATATTGTGCCCTGAAGATGACAATTTGAAATTGTGGAAAGTGCTTGGTAGGTGTCTCCCATCTGACAATAAGGATCTTATTATTCAAGGAAGTTAATGTCTCATTAAGCTTTTAGTGAATTTATTTCGCCATTAATCATATTAACATTGCAATTTAATTCTTTGTATAAATTGTTTCTTTGATATAAAATGTAAGCTGCACACTTGTATATGGCCCTAATAGGTGCTACACACTGGGTCTGAGTAACCTTTCGGCTGTCAATGTACCCCTGAACTTTTCACAGGTTGCTCTGTATAGAAATATGCTCTGGAAGTATTTGTACCAGTGTAGTATTGGAAATTGGTCATATTGACTGACAAAAAGTGTCAGCAAATATTCATGTTGCTATGTCCTGAGATCCTCACTGTTGCACAATATGTGAACTTGTATACGACACAAACATAAAAACTGAATGAGGTTGTCAGATCCTCATACATCAAAATTGACGGGAGAGTTTTTCATTCATAAGACAAAAGGAAAACTTATCTTAGCCGATACATTTCATACTCTGGGATTTTATGAAGGTAAATGCAAGATTTTTATTTTGTAACAAGTATTTATATACAAGAGCAAAAGTGTTATTGGTTTTTAGAAAACTTTGGAGTTTAGAAATGCTCAAATATCCATCAGATTAGCTGAAACATCAGGTAAGCTTTTGGTGATACGAAGTGATGCAATTCAATGTCTAAGAAATGAAAGTAAGTGAAATTTGACAGTTTTACACACAATCACACACTCAAACATTTATATATTTATAAATGCATATATAAATGGATTTTTTTTTTTTTTTTTTCAACAAAATAATCTAATGTAGATAATGAAACTTCCAATCCAAAGAAAAAGAAAACCTCTGTTGAAGACGATGGTCTTGGCAAGAACCAAGATTCTAAGAAAAAATTAAAAGAAGTAAAAAAAGGTGAAGCAGAAAAGACTACATCAGGTAAGTTCAAACACTGAACGCAATCAATTCATTTAGCCTATGATAATAAGTTTCTCTTTTCAAGATTCCCCTCAAGGACATTTTCCGCCAATGGCGAGCCTTTATTTTGTCTCTCCTCATGCCAGCACTTGATGTAAATCATTTCCAGTATGAGCAATCATGTATGACCCCTTCTCTCTCTCTCTCTCTATATATATATATATATATATATATATATATATATATATATATATATATATATATATATATATTTCTGAGAAAATTACTTAGTGGCTGATGAAAGCCGTTGAGGTAATTTTTGTTTGTTGCTAAAAAAAAAAAAAATGTGGATCAGTTTTAATAATTATTACTAGGATCCACCCAGATTATATACCAATGGATCACCTGCAGTGTGTGTATATATATATATATATATATATATATATATATATATATATATGATTAATGATTAATGGGAGTAAAAGTTTATCACTTAGCTAAATGATGTTACCTTCAGCATTCCAACTCAATTATTTCGTAGCCTGTCTGTCCACTCTTCAGGGAATATCAGCAATTTACTGCTTACATTCCCCCACCCACTTTATGCAGCCGTTTGTACATTCACTTGCATGTATCACCATGGTCTCTTGAGCGGGGTAGTTCCAACTCTAGACATGTGACTTATTTTTATTTATGGGCATTTTTTTTTTTTTTTAATTAAATCAATATAAAATGAAGTAGATAACCAGTACATTTATATTACAATGTTAGTAATATTTACCGAATTCTTGTAATATGTGATAAATATATTCATGGGCACGTGGCCGAGTGGTTAGAATGTTCATGTGCTGACAATGAGACCGGGTTCAAATCTCACTATTGTTGATTTGTCAGGGAGGAGACTTCCAGATGTTATAGGACTGGAGGGGTTGATCCTAGCGTGCGGCACTTTTTCAAAAGTGTCTGAAAACCCTACCATGGATTGACACAAGCCTTGTGAGTGAAATTGGGTACCATTTAGTGCCATTGATAGCTGTGCTAGCACAGTCATAAGTCACTGTGGCCGAGGGCTTGAGCTTGCTTGCCTTGTTCAAATTGTTGATCAAGCTCGATCACACACTCTTTCCCAGAAACTAAGGTCTGCTCAGCATAATTGCAGTATAAACTGTGGGTGTTGAATAAACACAAATGTGCCTGAGCAAGTATCTGCAATAGGGATTGGCTAGCCACCTCAGTAGACACGTATCCTCAAATACAAGTGGCCAGCTGTACATGTACATTCCTAGTATAATGCGAAAAGACATTTGATTTTTTTTTTTTTTTTTTTTTTTCTGAAAATCAAAAATATAAAAGTTTAATCCATAATTAATCAATTTGAAAAATAAACAGATAATTGATAAATTTGAATATTACGAATGATATGGTACTTAAAAAATATTTCGCCATTATTGCAAATTTCTAACAAAAATCTTGCATGTTAAGAATTTCAAATTTGAAATTAGAATTGACACTTATTCAGGAAAAAAAAATTAAATTTGAGATCTGAGAAATTCAATAAATTTATCAAGCATCTGGCTATGAAGAGTATCTTGAGTTTGCTAACCAGATAAGTTACTTAAATTTCATTTATGGAACATATGTTTTAATATATACATGAGTGCATTGGGGTTGTCTTTTTGTAAAATAATTGATTTCCTATATCATAATTCTATCAATTTTTGTTAGAATATAATCCGATTCGTTTTTTTTTTTTTTTAAATCACCCCCAATATGAAATTTTTAAAATCATATAAGTATAGTAGTACTATGACTTTCTGGAGCCTTCTAGAACTTGTTTTTGTTTATTTGTAAGGTAGTTATGCTATAGCTATAAACCATTAAATGCATTAAAAATACATGCATAAGTTCTAGCCAATCACATAATTAGCAAATTGAAAAATAAGTTTGCAATTCTTGTTTTTAAAGTTGTATGTTATGCTATAGCTATAAACTGTTATGTGTTAAAAAATACATAAGTATTATCCAATTACATCATGAGAAAATTGAAAAATAAAGCTTCTGAAATTGTTTTTCTCTTTTATTGCGTTATATGGTAAAAAATCAAATTTTCAGTTTTTCAAGAACTAAAATAAATGACTTCATTACTTTTGAACAAAAGTTTGTCAATTTGACACAGGAACATAAGTTTACAAAAGTCATAACCCTAGTGTGCATATGTACACGCATACATTTATGAATGTGTATAAATCGTTTTTATTTTATTTCAACCAAATGATCAAAATCTAGACAAGGAAGCTTGTAACCCAAAGAAAAAGAAATTGTCAGCTGTAGAGGAAGATAATGCCAAGAACCCAGATGCTCAGAATTCGACAAGTAAGAAAAAGTCAAAGAAGTCTAAAAAAGAGAAGGGTGCAGACGCAAATTCACCAGGTAAGTACGGCCATTGAAAGAAAAAGAAAAAAATTAGCCAAATTGTTTAATCCTGATTCAGTAAAAAGTTCTATGAAATTCTTTTGCTAGAGATTCTCCAAAGTTTTCTGGAAAACATTGACTTAGATTTTATTTTTTTAACGTCACTTTTTTCTTTTTAAATGGCACGTTTGATTATTCAGTTTGGGATTACTTGCATCATGGCTGACAAAACTTATATATATATATATATATATATATATGTATAATTTGCCATTTTGTTTCTTACTGAAAGGCTACGTCATTATGTCCCATGACTGGTATAGTTATAGGATCAATGGTAGAGCTGGGTTCCAGTTTGGTTTATTTTATTCACTTATGTGCGAATACTCTTGGGAAAGGTATGAATCCACCTCCTCACAGCTATGGCTTAATCAGTAGGATTTGAATAAGTAAATCATTCTCGCCTAAAGTTCTTAAAATGTAAAAATATTTTATCGCTTTAAATAACCTGAAAAAGGTTGATTAAACCATAAATCAATCGTCAGGGTCTTTTGTCCTTCCATGTGTCTCGGTTACATGCCAATGTCTGGGTCTCTCTGAATGATCTTCCGGTGATATTGTCAGCCCATTGTCTTCTGTCTGTCTTGTCTTTCTAACCCATCATCTGTGATGCAGTCTATATAGAAAATTCCCTCTCAACTATTGATTAAATTGTAGGACTTTTTCATGGAAAAAATCATTTTATCTCTAAAAAAAAAAAATTGTTAATGTAATATTCACTCACAAAAAAAAAATGTATTCTTATCCCAAAATGTTTTGGCTTTAAATAACCAACAGTGTTGATAAGCCATAAGAATACTCGAACATTTCTAATGCTTGAATTTGTATGTAATTCTACTAATTCAGATATACAGAAAGATTTGGCCAATGCACACAGTAGTCTAATCTTTGATTCCAGACAGATGTTCTTGTCTTTCCAGATGGTTTTTTAATTTTGCAACACCTGCCACTGTTTGAAATTATTTCTATAAAGGCTACATAGAATCTCTTCCCTACTGCCATGACATAGCTTCCCTGTGCCTTTACTATAATTATTGTCATGGCAATTGTCTTGATGATTTCTCCTCTTCAGTCCCTCAACTTTGACTCTAAGCATCAGTACTAGATTGGCAGATAGGTCTCATCATTTTACTGTTGAAATTGTTAAATGTAACCATGTTTTATGCCAATAGTTTCTTCTCTTGCACTTATTGCCTGTGGAACTCTTTCTGTCTCTGTAAATCTTGTTCTTTTTATTGTCCATTCTACTCTGTAATATTCTCTTGGATCTTAGTGACTTTATCACCTTGCTTGTGTTGAAATGATTAAAAAAAAAATTGCCGCCTTTCATGTTACAAGGTTCTTTGTTGAATAAAATAATAAACAGTAATAAACTCTGGCTCTACAATGCTTAATGCTAAAAATTCCATTTCGTGTATTGTTGTTTACATGCAGAAAAGACACAGGTTATTGGATTTCTTCATAACCCAAGATCTTTGCTAAATTGTATTTCATACTGGAGGCAATTCACTAGACATCTGATACTGGAGGCGTTTCATTAATGATCAATGGTAGCCATTCCTTATCTTCATCTTTACAAACAAGCAGTCCTACTCCACCATATGTCTAACTTTTTTTTCTTTTTAACAACAGCTTTAAGATATTCAAATTAGCTTCTTTTCTTCCATATTGATTTTATTTATTGTGAAGGAGGGGGGTTATTTTTCTAAATTCTTAATTAAATAAAATTTGACATGATATTGTTTTGCTAAGCAAACCAAATAAAATGTTTAAATTCACAGTTGAAGCAAAAACTGCTGGGAGCAACACGGAAGCAGCAAGCAAGACAAAGCCCCCCAAAAATGCTAAAAATCCAACTAATGTGGCTGAAAAATCAGGAGAGAAATCTTCAAAGAATGCAACCAAAAAAAATAAAAATCAGGACAAGAAATCTCCAGGTTGGACAAATTGATTTTCTTTCTTTTTTCTCCCCCCCCCCCTTACACATTCTGATTTTCTGTTTGCTTATTTGAATTATTGAATTAATTCGTGCTTATTATGGGATAGAGTTCATAAAACATGTTTCTTGTGGGTGGAGAGTTGTTTTTGTCTGGCATTGTAAACTGTTCTTATTTTTTTATTTTCTTTTTTTTTAGATTTATCGAAAGAGGCAAAGGCTGGAAAGCAAAAGATGGGAAATAAAAATGCCAATCTCAAGAACAATGGCAAGGTGGAGGCATCAAAGCCACCTCCAAGTAAGAAATATTGGAATTTAATAATTCTATGAATGTTTTCTCATAATCATGAAACCCTTTTCAAGTGTCTGGCTCCCAAAAATATTCAAGTATTTTTAATAGACCACATATTACAGCCAATTTTTACTAGTGTCATATAAAGTTCAGAGATTAAATATTTACCATTATTTGGGTTGGTATCCTCATCTTGATTTTAGTTTAATATACTTAAATAGCCTTGTTTGTCAGTAACATTTTAATTCCTGACTCCTGATAATCCCCACCATCACTCTTTTGTTTTTTGTACTGTACAAACTGAGTACTAAAAAGTGCAAAATTAATTATTTCAAATGTTCTCTATTCAAGCAGAAGCATTTAATTCCATAATGCAGAAAACGATTCTGGCTACTGAATTAAATTAAAAAAAATTAATTAAAAAAAGTCAGTGATAAGAATAAAGAGAACCTCGCTTTTTGAGAGCGCATATTTTTCTAAGATTTCTTGAATATTCAGGCCAGCAGACGAAAATAAATATACCATTTAATAAATAAAGACCATCTACTCAAATGCGAGTATCCACTAAAAATAACGTTTACATAATGTGTGTGTGTGTGTGTGTGTGCAACGGTTGAGGAATACATTGGTTTCCCATTATAAATGATTCTCTCTTTCTCTTTCCCATTTTTATTAGATATTGAAATGCAAACAATCTATGTATTGCTACTTCAATGAGGTAATGACCAGCGCTTTGCAAGGCACAAAACGAACTGTTTTATTGCATCCCAATTTTTCCATTTTAGTTTTAAATTAAATTCTTGTATTTTTATTAATTTTGCTATTGTTTTGTATGACCCATTTTTTAATTTTCTTTTAACTTATTTTATAGTATTAGAATTAAGTAATTTTGAGGCCACCCTTCATATTTTGATAGGTATCTTCCAGTTGTAGTATTATTACTAATATATATATATATATATATATCCCTCAGTCTAGGCATGGAAATCAACACTGCATAGTTATAGGCAGTTTCACACTTCAACTTATAAGAACATAATTTGAGTCACCATGCAGTGTTGTCCACACTATATTATTTTTTTATTTTTTTTAACTTGGATCTCAAATAAGACAAGAATACTCTACCTGATAGCATCTAAGACCTCCTACAGTTACTATTTAATATTAGTATAGATTAAAGGAGAGTACTCATTGTCTACAACTTCTTATCCTATAGGTCAAAAGTTTGGTTCTACCCTTTGTATAAAATAATTAGGTTTCGTGCCTTTTGGCTTAATTAACTTCTACTAATCTAGAGTACTGAAACTATTTATCAGCCAGCCTTAAAATTACTATTAGGTATGTGGGTGGATTATGAAAAAAGAATTAAAATTTTAAGGAAACTTTATACATTAATAAATTTGATTATTATTTGAATATATGATAAAATACTTCAGAAGAGAAAATCCCTCTATATCAAAGTGAGCAGGTAAATTAGTTCTGAAAAAGTCATGCAACCACTTCAATTTTTAGGCAATTCTCCAAAATCCAGAGGGTGACCCTAAATTTTTGGCCTATAGTATATATAAGATTAGGGAAATATTCTTGTGAAAAAAAAATTTTATATTCAAATTATATACTTAAAAAACAAAAAAAACTGGTTATAATAAAATTGAACACAATATGCTAACTACAGGTTTTACTGTAACACTTAAAATAATAAAATAAGCAAGTCTCACTTCATTTTTTGAATTGCATTAAACTCTTCTGTTTTATGTTTAAGTGCAATGTTAAATGTGGCTTTGACAAGAGAGAATTAGCAATTATAAAAAAGGCATTTGCAATTCTAAACATGGCTTCAACAAGAGAATTAGCAATGTTAAATGTGACTTTAACAAGAGAGAATTAGCTTACAAAGATGAATGTTTATAGAATGTATTTTTAATCCAGGTACCATTGGTTGTTCTCTCTCTTAGTATACAATTATTTTTCTTCTATTTCCAGGTATTATTATTATTGATAGTGCTAAGGATGACCGAATGAATCTACTGAAAGAACGGCCAGTTCTTGGAGTTCATGCCTTACAACAGCAGTCATTGAACATAATATATGTCCTAATATCACTACCAGGCACCGTCTTTGTGTTTGATCCAGTTGTTTCCAAGAAATTTCTGAAGATGTTGCTTGAAAATAACAAATGTCAAAAAGTGAGCTTGCTTTAAGTTTTAAGCTGTTGAAATGGCTTGAAGATTTGCCAACACTTATGGCTTTTATGATAGCTCAATTGTTGCAATTTGTTCATTAATTTTAAAAGTGTTAAGATGTTAACTCCCAAAATACACTTGTCTGTAGTTTGATTGCAAAAGTTGAATAGTTATTGTTTTCTTTAATATTTCCTTTTTTTTAAATCATCTTTGGATGTTATGCTTAGAATTGACACTTGTTGCTTTTCATAAGAGTCCCCTTCCTTAAATATCCATTAATTTCAGGACATAAATGATCGTAGCTTTTTACAGCTTCCTTTCCTTTTAACTCTTAAGGGTGGAAATGCCCAAGTACAGTCTTCTGGGAGCACCTGAATGTGTCCACAATCAAGTACTGTATTTCAGTATGCCGTATTAACACCTGTCACATGATCAGCTAGAGGTGCAAGAAATTTGACTTTTTGGGAAAATAATTTTCAGTTTTCAAAACCATACCTGATACTGAGTAGTACCAAAGAAGTTAATCTATAAATTCTACATGACTGTTCTTAAAGAGAAAAGTGAACTCTGTCAAATTAATTTGGGCCATGGTGCTGTATATTTTCAGAAATGAACATTTGAATCTTCTCACAGGGAGGTACGGGACTGACCCCCCCCCTTGCAGAAGCGACAGTTACATTACATCATGTTCTACAGCTATCTTGTATGTCTACATTCTAAGTTGGGTTAACTTTTTTTTTTTTTTTTTTTTTTTTCTATATCAGAACAACCACTAACATTTTAGGCCCAATTCTGCCCTTGGTTGCTATGCGGTTACCTTCTAGGTCACCTCTTGGCTGGACCTACCTCTTTTGATGTTCTGTTGTGACTCCTAATGCAAAACTTACTTTGGTATCTCTTGAGTGATTATAATAGATATTGGGGCTACCACAGATCAACTCCTCTTTTGTTCCTGATAGACATTAAATTCAATTCCAACTTCTGTTATATCCTGTTGGGAATTACATCCTATTTAGTTATAATTTGATTTTGTTTATCTGTATCTAACATCTAAATTGCTGGAATAATGTATCATAGCCAGAGCTACTCTAAATTCTGCTACTTTAATTCAATATAAAAATATAAATATATTTTTAAAGGAAGATAACTAAGTGCTAATTATCAACAGGTAGTATTTTTGGCTGATGAAACCCAGTAGTGCCCATCCATTTCCAGTCCCGGTCACACCTGACTCCTCTGATATCAGTAGCTCTGATCAAAGATAAGTTGACCATCATAAAGAAGAGGAAGTTGTAGTGGTATGTCCTATGTAACCAAATCATGAGCCCCCCCCCTCAAAGATCATGGTACAAGGAGAAAGGTGAAGTGGATTTTTCAATGTGCCCACGTTGTCCTGAATGTGACACAAGGATGAGGTTTAAAGTGGGTTTAACAGCATTATGTAGAAAAATATTAATCAAGCCACCTCCGCACTATGCCTTTTTTTTGGGGGGGGGGGATACTTCAGGCACTGGGTATTGAGACCAGACCATTCCTGAAGTAGAGGTATTGCCTGGGCAGTAGGTATTCTTGTGTTTGAGCTTAATATTATTTTGAAAGTAGCCCAGCCAAATAAAGATGAAGACCTAGAAGGAAAAGATTGGGCAATGTTGTTGACTGGACCAGCAAATTTTGCTCAGACCAAGTCGCTGGATCAAGTGGAGACTTCTCACTGAGCAAGCTACCATGTTAGTGCCTCTACAACCCTGGTGGGTTATAGAAGAAACACCTTCATTTATAATCAGGGGTGGGCAAGGTGCAAGCCTGCATGATGATTTTTATGCAAGCTGCAAGAGCACAATTTTTTTTTTTTTTTTTATGTTCATTAAGAAAATATTGGTATTTTTTATTGACATATCCATTGTTCTAGACATTAAATTCAATTCAAACTTCTGTTATATCCTGTTGTGAATCACATCCTACACTCTAGTGACCACCCTATGCAAAGGTTCTATGCTACCCAAGCATATGGCCCTTTTTTTTTTTTTTTTTTTTTTTTTTAGGTCCTGTTCCATGTTGATGTCTCTCCACAGTTTCTTTTTTTTATTACCTAGCTGTGATTCTTTGAGAATGAGTGAGGTGGTTTCTTGTTGCCTTCACCACAGTTTTGAATTCAGAGGTTTGTTGCTACCCAAGCCTATGAAACCCACTCTACCCTGCTATTTAACAGGTTGTTGGTGGCAGGAGGGATGGGTTTGTGCTCCCCCAACAACCCCCTCCCACCACGAGTGTGAAGGTGAATGCAATAGATGGGGCTGAAATTTGAACTCTGTGCTGATTCCACTTTCTACACTGATAATCATTACTCTATCCATTTATTAAGGGTTTAGTACTCTACACTTAATATTTCATAGCCATCTCCCTTAAATGTCTCTCTCTCTCTCTCTCTCTCTCTCTCTCTCTCTCTCTCTCTCTCTCTCTCTCCTTTCCCTCTCCCCCTTCAGTTTTAAATTGCTTGGACATTTTTTTTTCTGTCACTCATATCCCACCCACCTGCTTCTCATTTCTATTTCATTCTTTGAACACATTTTAGGGATACTATCATCCAATGTACTGTTACAGACAGAATGAGTCTTATTGTATTATATATTGTAGACTCTTAATTTTTTAATTTTAATGCTACTCCTAAATATTATCAATTACATTTTTTTTTTTTTTTTTTTTTTTTTTTCATTTCTTCAGGTTATGAATGACAGCAGTGTCGTCTTTGAAATGTATGAGCAGTTAGGAATTGTGCTGCATAAAGCCCCAATAGCTGATATTCAGGTAAGAATGGTGTCGCTTATATTCTTCAAATATTTAGGAAATTGGAGATGAAGTGTTCATTTTTAAGCCAGGTGTCATAGGTCATCTGCTCTATGGAGAGGAAAACTGGCAGTAATAGATTGGTTACAAGGTCTTATCATTCTACAGTTGAAATGGCTAAATGTAACCATAAGTTCTATGTTAATAGTTTCTTCTCTTGCACTTCTCGCTTGTGGAACTCTCTTCCTGCCTCTTGCTTCCAAGTCAACTTTAATGTTCAAAAATTTTAATGCAAGGCCAATCATAATCTTCTGACTCCTTGAATCCCATCCTTTTATTGTTCTGCTTCTTTACTCAGTAACCCCTTGCATCTTAGTAGCTTTATTGCCTTGCTTGGAGTGAAACAATTAAAAAAAAAAAAAAAAAAAGTACAGAACCTTTATTTTATTTTCCACTTGTTTATCACCTTTTAATTTAGGTACATTTTACATTAGTCTCAGATTTTTACCACTTCCTGCCCATAATCAGGTAGAACCCCCTTTCATCAAATGTTAAGTTTACAAACTGTAACTTAACATTAAGCACTCTGCATCATTTTATAAATACTACTTCTCATTTTACTGTATATGGAATCCCCTCAAAATGTTTTATATATTTGAAATTGCAGTAGCCTGGCTCTCAATTTCAGACAAGATTATTTTAGGTGCTGCCATAGAAGGATATGACTACACAACCAAGAAATTCAAAGACCCTGTACATGCCAGTCAAACACATGTGTACTGCAGACAGCCAGATAAACAATTTATACCAATCAAAACACTGAAGTTCTGTTCATCAGCAGCTTTACTGAAAACCAAAAGGGTGAATCTAGAAAAATAATAAATACAAACTTAAGACTATGTATAGTCAAAATAACAAAAGGTGTATTACTTAAAAAAAAAAAAAAAAAAAGTGGGATATGGCAATGGCGGCCAAGGTGTGGGATTCTGAACATTACCCCATTTAGACCTACAGTCTGATTGTTAATGAGGGTTGCTTACATGTTTGACTATTATCCTGAATCTTTGCTTCCATTTTGAAGACATTTTCACAGCCTCATATTTTTCTTTTACAGGTACTGCATAAGTTGAGTGAGGAGCGATCACTGCCAACCTTGGGTGAAATTGTTGGTGAAGTCCTTGGAAAATCTCCCACAGTTCCTTTTGAGCCAGCTTATGAAAAGATGGCAGAAAAAATAAAAGGAAAGCCCAAGTATGTGATGAAAACATTGGCCCATGTCTCAGAGTTGGTGCCTCTTTTTGAGAAATACAAGTAAGTGTACCAATATTTTCATAAGACTTTCTCCAGTCTAAAAAGTAATAACCATGTCAACCTGGTCAAATTAGGTCATGAAAGGACCCTGGGCTAATAGAATTTGGGGGTTCTCTTCAGTACCTATTTTTCTCTCCCCACCGTGTCTATAAAAAAGAAATATTTTTAGATGTGTAAAATCTGAAACACTTCAACTAAAACTTTCAATTATCTTGGAACTCCAATTAGTAATTGCATTTTTTTTTTGTTTTTTTTTTTTTTTCTTATCCAAACTTTACATCCTTCAAAAGGCCCTACTGAATTTAAGACACCCTCCAACTACAGGGGCCCAAATACTCTAAATTGTTTCAAATTAGTTCAAAGGAGTCCTATTAAATCTGAAAATAAACTAATCTCATCTGTTCTTTACATCTCTTTAGTTGGTTTTTTTTTTTTTTTGTTTTTTTTTTTTTTAGTTATATCAGGAACTCTCAACACTAATCCATATGTAAATCTAGCACATGTAAGATATAATGTTGCAAATCAAGTTAGTTTGTTTGAAAAATATTCATTTTGCTGATGGATGTAGATTAGGCACCTCCAAAAATTTCGGTACCCAACGTTTAAATGTATTTTTCATAAATAAAAAATTATTTTTGAAGCTTTCCCCAAGCTTCAATTGAAAGCTAAAGGATTCAATTTTCTAATTCCAGAAAACAAAACACTGTACTGTATTTCATCTAGAAATTATAATGATTTTAATCGATTCTTCTGAAAAACTAATTGAAACGGCCATGTTTAACTTTTTTTTTATAGAGAAATGTAAACAAAAATAATTTTTTGTTTTAAAAAGCCGCCTAAAATAACACAGATTTTTGAAACGTTACTTTCATAAAATTAGCAAATTTAAAGTTTAATTAATCTGTTTTAAAACAAACATCACTTACTTACACCATGAAATTTTCTAGACAAGCATTTCTTCACTACAGAGTCTTGAATTTTCTCGAGTCTCCATCGATAATTTGATGGCCGCGTGTGTTGACAGGTTTAGTATGGTGGACCAGAGCTGATACAATTTTTCGAATTCTAAGTAAGAATGGTTTGCTATTGAATTTTTTACTACTAAGTAATGTTTGAAATTTAAAATATTTCAGTCGATTATCTAATATTTTACTGATTTTTTTTTAACTGTAATTTTGAAGATGTTTTCTTATAATAATTTTAAAATAAAATACTATAAAAAATTTTAAAATTATGTAGTTACCTCTATAATGGTAGATAATTATGATAAATAATTTTAATTATTATATTATCAGTTATTACAATTTTAATTAAATAACTGAGATGTATATTATTATTATATTAATTATAAATTATATTATTAATTATATTAATATTTATCTTAAATTATTAATAATTAATAATAAAAATTATTAATTATTATAACTTCTATCTCACTCAGTTATTACATTTTTACAACTGAAATATAATTTTATCTCAATAATTCACTTAATTTAATAACTGAGTTATAATTAAAAGTAATTATCTGTTATCACAAATGGTAGAGATAACACTATGCTTTAAAATTTATAGTATTTAATATTTATATCTTTTAAGATCCTATTTTTCATTTTATTCTTTATTATATTTTGATGTTTATGAATTGTTAAAGTTATTTATTAAATTTTTAAAGTACTTAAATTTTTATTACTTAGATAATTCTACACCAAGGGCTTTCCCATAGGGGGAGACAAGCCTTGGAACACGTGATCTTTTAACCATAATATCACTTGCGAGACACCATACCAATAAATAAAAATAAACATCGTGACGCACAAAAAAAAATTAACTTTTATTATGGTAAAATGTTTTGGTAGCGTTATTTGTATTAAGCTTTTAATTTTCACTTAGTAAATATCGTCTTCGCTTAAAAACCTAATAGCCGACCAAATGTGCTGCAAGAAAGAATTTTAAAACATTTTTGAAAATTAATGAAAAAAAAGGGAAAAAAAATAAAAGAAAAATGCAAACAATTGTTGTAAAAATTCTATATTCACCGAAATTTTATTTTTTCTTCAGATAATAATGTCCTTAATGTATATTATTTATAAAAGCAAATAAAAACTTATCTAATTTGATAATTAGATAGTTTATTGCAGTTTTTATTTTTATGATTTGGAGCAGATTTTTTAAAAAAGTGGGACTAGTTGTGAAAAACTAAATTGGTTATTTAATTTCTCCAAGGAGTCCTCTTTATAAGGAAAAAAAAAAAGTTGCAAACTTTTTGAAATTCTATAAAATTTCATAAAATTAAATTTGGAGGTAGTAACAGATGTAAAAAAAAAAAAAAAAAATTACCAAGATTTTCTAAAAATAAAAATTTTAAAAATAAATTCATTCATTTTTTAATAAGTTCTGAAAGTTTCATTTTAATTAGACAATTATTTGATTTTTGCAATGATTTCAAAATTAATGGGTTCTCACCCGAAATTGCTACACTAAAAAAAAGCAATGACCACAAGTCGTACGGTTTTAAAAAAAAAGAAAATGAGATGTTTGACCCAAATTTAAAAAGTGTTAGAAAGAGAAAAATTTTAAAAAATATTTTAAAAATACTTTGTTCTTTCCTCTTAAGAATAACATAAACATTTTTATGATGAAACTTTGTTTTTATTAAGTTTTGGGCCTGTTATCATTATGCTATACTGACATCTTGTGAAGAATTGGAGGTACCTAATGTAGATATTAGGGTGAGTGGGAGTGCATCCTGTAGACTCTACCTCCAAAAGTTTTCTTTATTTGATAATGTATTTGGGTGTTGTTAATTGTGTTATCCACAGTGGTCTAAAAAGATGTGTATACACACACACACACACACACACACACACACACTATAGGCCAAAAGTTTGGATCTACTCTCTAGATTTATTTGTCAGTTTCATACCTTTTTTAATATAACTAAACTTGGATGCTGAAACTATTTAAGTGTATAGCAAGCATTAAATATTTTTAGAGTGGGAGTTACCTAAATTTTAAAATCCACCAGCCCTGAGATTACTATTATCCAGCAAAGTAGATTAGGCAAAAAGAGATAAATTTTATTGAAAATTTATGTGGTGGTGGGTTAATTTTGTTATTATTGAATATGATACAAACCTTTCATGACAGTCCATTTGGCCTGAAAATTGGTTTCATACAATTTGAATTGACTGTATATTGGTTGATATATATTTATAATTCTCAAAATGTGTGTGTGCGTGTGATTGGATATTGATTATGCATTTGCAGTTTTCATTTGATTTTGATGAAATTGTTTTTGTTTGATAGATAATTCTTCAGTGCTGGTTTTGAGTCCAAATTGTTGGCGACAATGGTTCTCCACAACTTCCTGTCCATTATAACTGTCAGCATTATAACTCTTACTATGTTCTTTGATATATATCTTTCATAAAAACTTTATTAAAAATAGTTTAAATTATTAAAATAATATTTATTATAGTTCCCTGTTCAGTCCCACCATTCAATTCTCTCTCTCCCCCCCTCTTTCTCCTCTCTCTCTCCCCCCTTCTCTAAAAGTTAAACATTTTTTTTAGAATGTTTCTAATTTTTCAACAACTCTTTTACATTGCAGGCATCTTCTGAATGGCAATGCAAAGTCAACTATTTTTGAGAAGTACAACAGCAAGTTTGACGAAGCTACAAGAGTTAAACTTACAGGGAATACTGCCATAAAGAAGCCTGGTTCTCAGTCAAGCTCTACCGAAGTCCAAAAAAAGGGCAAGAAAAGTAACAAACAATAATAGAAAAGTACTAAAGACTGGACTCTTTATTTTAACCTGTTGACAGTGTGTTAAAAGCAGTCTTTGCATCTGCTGTTAGATGGAACCACCATAGCCTCTTATTTCATTCACATCAGTGAATATTCCTAGGACAATCAACTTATCAAGTAAATCTTTAACCTCCTAGCCATGGATAGAACTTACAGTGTACATAGCAGTACCTACCTTTACTTATAGCATCTTATTTCATTCCCTCTCTCTCTCTCTCTCTACTGATGTGAAATGTCAAGAGAATAGAATATTTTTTTAAGATCAAAGGTTAAAATTGCCAGAAGTACCTTGAATAAATTTTGGAAAGAGTGTGTGTGGGTTACCTTTTTATTCATGAAAAAAAAAAAAAAAGTATAATATACAAGCATTTATTTGCAAGTTATTTTAAGATTTTTCTAAGGTTCATTCTTTATTACATGAAAATCCAGGGGGAACTAGCTCCTTCCCAAATTCAGCTACTTCTCTCTAACTATAATCTTGGTCCCAAATATTTTACAATGTGATGAAAGGAAATTTGTCCGTTCTGCATTTTATTCCATAGCTTAGTGTAAACAAATTTTAAATAAACAAAACCAACTGAATTTGGTCTCCAGAAATCCACTGGCAAGGAGGTTAAAAATTAACTTTTATCAAACAATCTACTGTTTTGAATGCACCTTTTTGTTTGTGTGTTTTTTTTTTTGTTATATATATATATATATATATATATATATATATATATATCTCACAAGTGGATGGGGAATTTAAAAATTTAACAAGATGACGTGACTATTTTTCTAAGTATGGTATCCAAGATAGTGTATTTCTTTCTCCAACAGCAACATTCTAGCTGATGTGTTCTTCAACCTTCCTCAGATGTCTGTTAAATTTTTTTTTTTTTTTTTTTTTTTTTTGTCATTTCACTCAGAACAAAACTAGACTTTGTTAGGCTCTTCAATTTCTTCCAGAAGGAACAAGTACAGATAGATGTCTAAAGTACACCAGATTTTAGCAGATAACTGAGAAACTTCAAAATATTGTTAAAAAGATGAGGTACCTACTATCTTTACCTTTTTAGCACAATATTTTTTTTCAAAATGTATGGAATAGGGAAAATACTTCATATCAAAACTTTAAAAAACATGAATTATGCATGGTACGTATTTCAATTACTTTTTGCATAGAAATAATAATAATAAAAAAGAAAAAAATTAGCCACAACAATGTGCTGATTTCCCCCCACCCCAAAATATACATCTCTCCTTTTTCAAGACAAATGCTTCAAAACAGTTATCAACTTTATTATTATTATTTACTTTCATGGTGTGGATACAATCTTTTCAGGCTTTATAAGATTATCTTCAAAAAAAAAAAAAAATTAAAAAAAAAAAAAATTTTTTTTTGATATCCTTTCCAAGGGAGACAAAACTAAAAGCCATATTAAAAACTGCTTACCCCCCGCCACCTAGAGGAGATGAAAGCAGTTGAGTGTCAGGCATTTTGCAAGGAAAGTCTTGTTCGGAAATTCCAATACAATGTGTGACAATGGATTCCTTCCCCAGCTTTGAAGAATTGGCATTTTAAAGTCTGAGACATTCACTTTTTATTTGGTGGAATCACTATGCATGTGTTTTTTTGTATTCATTTTCTTAATTGTTTAAAATGTGCTTGCCCCTTTTATTGGCCAAGCACTGCAGAGAAAATTAGTTTTTAAGTAAAATAGATTAAATTGTTGTTTTTTATTTTATTTTTTAATTTAATCATGATGATGATTTACTTTTTTGGATTGCAGCTAAAAAATTACTTTGGAAAGAGTCAAATGGAGTCTGAGGGTTACACTTTTTTTTTTTTTTTTTAGTCATGACAACAGAATCACTCAGAAAGCCAAAAAAAAAATAATTAAAAAAATGCCAAAAATTGAGAATTTGGAAAAAAAAAAAAAAAAAAAATTTGTTTACCTTATTTTATGTAATGAATACAAAGTTACTTTAGAAGATATCTAAAACTTTGTCATTTCATTAAAGGGAGAAATCTTTTTCCTTTAAATGTATTTTTGTGTCCACGTGTTTGTCACACACACATACATATATACACACACACACACACACACACACACACACACACACACACACACACACATTACTTCTGCTATCCAAAAGTTGAAATACTAACTTGAGTTCTTAAATTCCAAAAACCAAGGATGCAAATTGAAAATTACCAAAAATAAGTACACAAATTTTGAAGTACTGTATTTTCTTATATACAGAGCTAGATAGATATCTTATCTATCTCAAAGGTTACTTTTCTTTTTCTTCCTATAAAGTACATTTCATTTTATTTTTTTTGTTTTCCTTTTAAATCCAAAAAGGAAAATTATGAAAATATTGAAGTAATCTCTGGTTCCTCTATTTTAATGCTGTCAGGTATAATGAGTCTTTTTCTTTTATTGGTACAATAAAGATACTTTGAAATTGAATTTTGTGTATTGTGTTGCAATTTTATCTCTCTCTCTCTCATAATGTGGATATAGATCCAACAGTATGAAGAAAAATATACAGAAAAACAAAAAAAATCCTAATATGCAATTATGCTGTTTTAATGTTAATTTGTCAACGTCGGACGTTTCGGTCTAATAGACCCTCTTCAGGTCATATTCATAAAACATAATTAACATTAGACTATATTCAATTCAACATGAAAAAGACGATGGAGACACGGGCAAGACTAATCCAAACAGATAACTGAAATTTTTTATAAGATCAGTGTTCTGTTTTAATATGATCACGTCGATGTTGAAAACATATTCGAAGATGATTTCAAAATATTAGATAAGCTCGATTCAACGATTTTCTCATATAAAACAGTTCGTTAAGAAATCCTTTCTGTTCTTATAGGAATAGGCGGAGATCAATAGACTGATGTTGACATTATATTAACATTAAAACAGCATAATTGCATATTAGGATTTTTGTTTTTCTGTATATTTTTCTTCATACTGTTGGATCTATATCCATATATTTGCTTACATACTGTCTACTGGAAATACAAATTTGAATTTACTTTATAACATGGAAGACTTCAAGCTTATACGAAAATATAAGAACCTGGATTCCCCTTTGTAAAAGAAACAACTGTTTGATCAAGTATGTAAATGGTCTAAGGTATGCAGATTCACATCCTGCCAGAGATCACTTTTTTTTTTTTTTTTTTTTTTCTTTAAGATTAATCAGGTGGACAAGCCAGTAGATGTAAAACCGACAGCCAGTTTTTATTTTAAACTATTTCAAACACCAGTATCCACTCAAAATAACATTTGAAGTATTAAAAATAAATGCTATATATATATACACGTGTATGGAAAGACAACCATTTACTGAAGAGTCCATAAAAATGCAGAAATAATTTTCTGTTAGGTGCTACCAAAAAATTTCAGGGAATTTGTACATTTAAAAACAAAAGAATGTATTCTAATATATAGCTTCAGTTTCCTTGAAAGACAGTCCCTTGGGTGTTTATTAATTCACCTAGTAAGGAATGGTAAAAGTCCATTGCTTGAATTTGAGCACATTTTGTTAAAATTCTCCAATCTTTTGGGGAGCACCTTTTAAACTTTCTTATGAAAGCAAACTGGTATAAATGCAAAATCTGAGACTACACTTTTTCATCTTTTTTTATTTAATAAAGGAAAAATAATTTGTTTTTAATAAGTTAGCATAAGTTTTATTACTAAACATTATCAAAATTCTTGACATTTAAAAAAAAAAAAAAAACTTAAATTGTTAGCACAATGGGATGAAAATAGTCATACCATTTCAATTTCCAGGTGAAAACATTTGCAGATTGCAATCAAAACTAATCATTTTTTTTTTTTTTTTTTTTTGTTGTTTCAAATGGTAAGTTTTCAATCAACAGTCCAAAAAGAAATGGAGAGAAAAAAATATTTACTGGTCTTAAAGACTGTCTTGTCTGCTGTATACAATTATTTGTCAATGTATATTAGGCACTTCAATGCGGTGTAATGGTGAACAAGCTTGTCTTGCCAGATCACTTACGACTACGTGGTGAATTTGATCCTCACTTAGGTGCTCCATATTTGCGGCCTTGTACCACATCTAAGCTTCACTTAGTAAATCATTATTTGTCAATCTATAAGAGAATGGTACAAAAAAATCTTAATTCGTATCTTCTGAGTTTTCCAACTGAGAATGAGATTAACAATGTCCATAAACATCCCAAAAGGGTCCTTTTGTGAATATCATCTTCAGTTTCCATTGTTAATATACAGGGTGTCCCCCCCCCCACCAGTTGCCATCATTTAAAATGTGAATAGCTGATTAACTACATGTCACAGACAAACAAAATTTAAATAAGCACTGAGGTGCTCAAGAATGTTACACAAAATGTGCTACAGAGTGTTTGACAGGTGATGCACATATTAAACGTTTGTCAAATTGGTTATAAAATCTATATCCTTTTGAATATGTTGTTCAACATGAAGCCTATTTAATTTTGTTTGCCTGGGACATGTAGTTACGCAGATATTCGCATTTTAAATGTCAATTTTTTTTTGGTGGGAGCACCCTGTAGAACGGACCTTCCCAGTTTTTGTGCATGCCTTTTTTTTTTTTTTTTTTTTTTTTTCCACTAAAAGTGCATCAGATTTATAAAAGTTTGAGACACCCTCATAGAAGAGAATGGTAAATGATTCTTATCTTGGTGTGTGTGTGTGTGTTTTTTTTTTTTTTTTATGACCTGCAGTAAAGTCTGGGGAATGAGACCTTGAAAGTAGCCATGCAATACCAAACTTGTCAGAAATTTAAGGTACACATATTTTTCTTCAAAAGAAAAGCCAAGAATCCTTGTTTTTCTTGGTCAATTGGAATCCTATTGGGAAGTTTTAACTGGGGCCGCAAAATATCATTTTTCATAATTCAGAACCAAATCTGGGGTGATTTCGTTTTGATCTCCATTCAAAACCCCAAGCTAGTCAT